AAGTTGACTGTTCGTCATATGGCGGGAGATAAGTTGGTTGTGAGTGTGGATCCAAAGACTGGCAAAATATCGGGGCCACATCACACTCAATTTAGGTCCTACTTGGGTACTCTTGCTAGAGAAAATGTATGTAATTTTTTAGAGTTTTTAACTTGTTATGCATATATGGTCAGCATATGTAAATGGATTGATATCTAACGTTTTAAGTTCATAATTAGGTATCTATTTTGCATCCATCTTGGGATTATGTGGAGGAGACTTGCAAAAATTTAATTTGGCAAGATATTTTGGTGAGTTTTGTTAACTCGTTAAATTATGTTAAGTTAAGTTAGATCCTAAACTTTGTTATCCTAATTTATTTTGTTGTTTTTGCAGAATCACTTTGATATTGTTAACTCTGAACAAGTTAGGAGAAAAGTCATGTCATCTATTGCCAAAATGTGGAGGCAATTCAAGTCGATATTTACTTCAAAATGGATTTTTAATGACCAAGCCATTAGCAAAGGATTAACTCCTTGTCAGCGTTATGGCATAGATGAGGAAACTTGGAAGCAGTTTGTCGGGAGTAGGATTGGTCCACAATGGGAGGTATGTTACTATTTAAAAACTTTGGTATGTTTCCATATTGTCTTATTAATTTAGCACATTGTAATATGATATTATGTTGCAGGAGAAGCGAATAAAAGGAAAGGAGATTCGGAGGTTGAATGTGGCCCCCACTGTCTGTCTCGTGGGGGGTATGATTTGTTGACGCAACGCATGATGAAGGAGAAGGCTAAACTCCAGAAGGCTGAGTTTGCCTCTTCCAGTGTAAGCCAGGAAGAAATTTCCCCACCATCTCCTCCAAAACGTCATCAAAAATGGAAGAGGGCTCGGCAAAAGCCCTCCGGTGAAATGACATCGGAGGAGGCCCGCTTGATTCGCTGAGCGGATTGTAAGTCAAATTAGTTTCTTTCAACCTCATTAACCATGCTTTGTCATTCATCAATTTTTTTTACAATATATAATGCTCAATTGTAGGATTCTTTAGAGGAGCAGTATACACGGGGAACATTCGTTCCCCGTGGTCGTGAAGATATATTAACTACTGCTATTGGACGCCCGGAACACCCAGGGCGTGTTCGTGCTGTTGGAGCTGGTGTGGGTATTCGAGCATATTTTGGAGCTCCATCATCGAGACCATACCCACACCACATCATTGAGCCGGCGAGGAGATGGCCAGATTGGAGGAGAGTCTAACAGCGAAGGCGAGACCAGCGATGGTTGAAGAGGCGACGGCGACGCCGACACCGGCCATTACCGCACGAGTTCGGGAGGAGATGATGCGTGTATTTGGTTCAAGTCTAGCATCCATAGGTGTCACACAGCCTACCCACCCACCTATGGATGTTCCTCCTCCATCTGCCGCACGAGTTAGCACTAAGGGTAGTTGTCTTGAGCCAAATACTGCGATCAAGAGCTTCCTGCTACTAATCGGGAGGTTGTTGTTGTTGTTGCGGACATCGACCACTCGGGTATGTGTGGATGATATCTTAATGACAAAAATTCATGTGCATATTAAATAATTAATGTCTTATTTTTGTGTAATCGAGTCGATGTGAATTTTATGTTGATGAGGATGGATCTGAACCATGATTGGTGGCGGTTGGTTCAATTGAAGAGGGGGCCTCTACAATTCATAGTGTGCCTTTAGCACCTAACTTGGCCAAAGTGGTCATTGAAGAAGTTCGAGATGCTTATGCTCTTGTACTGTGCCCACAAGCGAGGTGATGACGAGTGGGACGAGGCCCTCCGGACCTTCATTGCATGGCCTAGACATCTAATCGGGCCTATTTTGAAAAAGGTTTGCATATACTTTACGTTAATTATCATATGTAGTCTGGTACTATTTTTTATTATTTCTCAAGTCAATGTTATTTTATGTAGGATGTTTAGAAGCCACCCCAGTTGCCTAAACTGGTTCCTACTTCCCATACTAGTAAAGGTAAGGAAGTAGATGTCCCAGAAAATCCAATTTTTCAACTACTATCTATTGTCCCACAGTTGTATATTCAATCTTTTCAAGTGAAGTGGGATGTTGATAAGTTAGGGGTAGACAATAAGAACTTTTCCCTTTACATTGACCACACCGATCTCTGTGGAGATAGCAGTTGGCAATCGGTGTCTAAACATAGCAGTGTTACAATTTTGGACAATGTAAGTATTTATTTTTATTTACTAATTATGTTATTTGAAGTTATCGTCATATTTAATGTACATTGAACTGTCTACTTTAGGATGATGAATGAATTGTCGGAGGAACAACGCACCCAAGATGTGTATGGATTTTTTGAGCCCCAATCCATACAAAAATCAGGAAACAAGAGAGAAGAAGTTCAAATATACATCCAAAATTGGATGATGAAGTCAAGGAAGAAAGTTTACTTGGGTGCTTACCACCATCGGTAAGTATTTAAGCGTATGAAATTATTCGCATTAAATTTTATAGTGTATTGTATTATCCTAACTTTTTGTAATGTAGCAGAAATCATTGGTAGTTGTTGGTTGTTTGCCCAAAGCGAGAATGTTGTGGCTTGGTTCGCTCACTTCGGGCAAGAAACCTGATGCAGATCTTAAAAACATTGTAAACAGGTACACATTCTTATAATAATTTAAACAATTATTAATTGTTTTGTTACTTAATTGTTTCATTATATCTTGTATTGCACGAGTGCATTTAAGGTTTGCAATACAATTGATGGAGTACACACAAGCAAAAGCACGACTCCATATTGGATTTTTGTTAATGTAAGTCATTTTATATTTATGTATTATATCATTCATTTTATATGTCAAATTAATATATTATTTTTTGTAGTGTAATAGGCAACCAGGATCTTATGAGTGCGGATATTATGTTATGCACTTGGATGTGGCTGATTGTTGTTAGCAAGACCGAGGATACATGGAATCAAGTTTGCTTAAATTTAGTATTCAATAAAAGACCCAAGTATTGTGTCATTGGATACTCGTTAAATTATCTTTTTTCTTGTAACAGGTATTTTCAGACAGGGAAGCATTGCCCATAGAGACCATTGACGATATTAGAAACACATGGGCCGATAAGTTTGTTAAAGTTAGAAGTAGGCAAGTTTAGTTATTAATTTAGTACTTAGTTTAGTAGTTAGTTTAGTAGTTACTTTAGTAGTTAGTTTAGTAGTTAGTTTAGTAGTTAGTTTAGTTACTTTACTAGTTAGTTTACTAGTTAGTTTATTAGTTAGATTAGTAGTTAGTGTATTTGGTAGATAAGTAGTTGGATACACTATAATTTTGGATACAATTTTATTTTTGGATGCACATTCAATTGTTTATATCTTGTACATTGTCCTGCTGGGTTGTATTCAAATTTGCGGGTATGTATATATACAAACATTGGGTACCCTGTATAAACAAAGCGTCCATTTAAAAAAAATAGACTTTCTACGTCGGTTGTGACAATAACCGACGTAGAAAAGCTAATATCAACGCTCGGTTCATACCATAACCGACGTAGTAAACATCAAAATACGATGTCGACCGGTGTACTCGCTTGAGCGACGAAAGCTTCAAACAAAAGGGACTCTCGGGTTCCATCTCGCTCAAGCGAGCGTTTCAACGTCGGTTATCAGAACTGACGTTGAAAGTATACACTTTCAACGTCGGGTATGAATAACCGAACGTTGAAAGTCGTCGATTATCTATACTCGACGTTGAAAGTGTATACTTTCAACGTCGCTGATACAACGCTCGGTTGTATAACCGACGTTGAAAGTCTTATATAACCGACGTTGAAAGGCATATCCATAGCAGATGTTATACATTTTTTTACAAGTATATATAATTTTAATACATTATCATTAGTAATTCTAAAAATATGTATTACTTTTATATTTAGAAATAAATATATTAAAATAATGAGTTTATATCAATTTAGTATTATAATATAAAAATGAATATATAAATAAAAATAAAATTATAAATTATAAAAAATTATATATTTTTATATAGATATATTTTTAAATTTCATTATTAAATGGAAAGTAAAAATAATAACATGCATAATTACGTTATTTATATTAAATAATAAATATATATAAAGTGACATATTCAGAAAAAATAATTATCTTAATTTAAAATATTAAATTTTTTTCCTCATTATATTAATTAAAATTTTACAGTTTTTGGGTTACAAATCTGCAATCAACAATAAGAACTAAAAAGGAATGAAATGTCAATAATGTAAAATTAACAAAACTTTTAAAATAACTAAATAGGATTATATTTATAAGGACTAAAACTCATAAATTTGTAATCCAATTCAATTTTAATTACTTACATTAATTAAAATCCAACTTATTGAGCCGAGTTTAGGTTAGGTGAGTCTAAATATTAGGTACAATTAATTTCCATCAGCCGTTGAAATATTACATGGTCACACCAATAACAATTTCTGAAAAAAATAAAAAAGGAACAAAATGCTAAAATAAATTAAAAGTAGGAAGACAAAATAATGCAATGAATCCAATTATTAGGGAGTGGGTCTATCATTGGGCTTCGGCCACCTATATTTTAAAAACCAACTTTATTGTATTTCTTGATGCATTAATATATATTGTAAATTATATATTATATATTGTTATTACTACTTATAATTTAAGGGGAATGAACTTCTTTATATGTTTTCTTATATATTTTTTAATTTTTGATAATTATTTTTCTTAGTTGTCTTTATAATTATTTATTTATGTATATACTTTTTTATGATTTTATTATCAATAATTTAGTGATTGTTTGATAATTATAGTAAAAAGATTGAACAGAGCCTGTTTTCACTTATATAATTACATTAATACTATAAAGTAAAAGATTGTAAAAAAATCCAAAAATGAACCTGACTGGATAGAGTAGGCACTTTATTTTGTTCACTCAGCGTCTCATTCCGGGTTCCCGCCCACTGTCATTTCGCTCGCTAGAACTCAACCATGGGAAATTCGTCCAAGGACGATTCTGCCACCTCTCCTGACGCCTCCGCCGGGGATGTTCAGCCCTCCAATGCAGGCGTCTACTCCGAGGGCGAGAAAGTGCTCGCCTACCACGGCCCTCGCATCTACGAAGCCAAGGCACCTTTTACCTCTTTCCCTCCCTTCTTTCTCATTTTTCTCTCTTTTCTTGATTTCCCTATCCCTCTTGTTATTCCCGTTTGGAATTTTATAATTACCGTTTCAGAAACAAACGGAACCCTTGCCGTGGCTAACTGCACAGTAACTGTTTCGCACTGGGGTTTTCTGTGTTAGGGATTTGACTCGTATTTTTTCGTTTTCTTGTTTGTATTTGTCTGTAAAATTAGCCAATTCTTGCTTTGACTGAATTGTGATTTATCAACAGTTTTTTCTTGCTATGTTAATGATAAACTTTGAACTGTCTTTTTACGGTTTCTTGCCATTTAACCTATTTTCTCTTGTTCAGTCTAATTAATCTATAAAGATTTGATGGTGATTATAGCCATGACTTGTAATTTTTCATGTTATCATGTCCACTTTTTCCCTTGCATTTTGAATTTGAGAGTATTGTTAGGGATATTTATTTCAATTAGTCTTTTTTTCTACTACGTTTGCCTAATGTAAGGCTTCGCAGTAAATAACAACTAATCACACTCTAAAACAATTTGCGGTTTATACTGTTCTTTTCTCTTTGTCTTTTTGTAGTAGTGATCTAATCTACTGCCTGATTTGATAATCAGGTGCAAAAAACTGAGATCAGAAAGAGTGAATGGAAATACTTTGTTCACTACCTTGTAAGTTTAACCATAATATTTCTTGCCTTGCAGACCTAATTTACTGCATTCTGTAACTACTTCGTCATTTCTATTGATTATCTCATCTCTTGAGTGTTCCTTGATTTAACTTTTCAAATTAATTAATTTTTTAGCTTGAAAGATTTGAAATCCTGAATCTAACTGAAATGTTAAACATTTGAAACTTTTAAGTGATTTTGGGGTATGCTATTGAATTTGGTTGTTTCATTTACTATTTTGCAGGGCTGGAGTAAAAAGTGAGTTTCTTATCTTTCATTTGTTTCATTTCAAATAACTGAGGTACAAATGGCAACCTTTCCATCACAATTCAACCTTTCAGTTTACAATGTGTTATGGAATATTATAGTTGTTATTGTGTACATGGTGTAACTGAAAATTGCTTAAGAAAAAAAGCATAAAGTAAGAAACAGAGTTAATACTTGCAAATTTTCCAATTGAAGCTCTCATTTTAAATGTCAATGAATGCTGTACATAAGGTACTTGTTTAGCAATTTTTTTATAAGGTTTTTGTTATAATTTATCTGTAGATTTTAGAGAGAATCATCTTCATATTTTTGGCCATAGTTATTTGCTATAAATGATTATTATTACATGCAAAAGGTTACAAAGAATCATTATCATGGGTATTTCCAACAGTTGGGACGAATGGGTAGGTGAGGACCGATTAATGAAACATACTGAAGAGAATGTAATGAAACAGTTGGCCCTAGACAAAAAGCAAAATGCAGACAAGAATGTTAAGGCTGGGCGTTCAACCCAAGCAAAGGGCAAAACTTCTACAGGTAAGCAATGCCCTCTTTCAAATGGTGATAATGTATCATGACAGGTTCTTGAAGCTTTTTCTTATCTAGTTTTGTGCTTAATGAATCTATTTGGCATGGGATCCGAAGTCCCACAGTTAATGATTGAAAATATAAAAGATTTTGTTGTCATTACTCTCTGGAGTATTGGGATTAAGTATTTATTACATTTAATAATTTGAATTGTTGTGCATTTTTTTTTTCCTCTTTTCTTTTTATCTAAATGTTCTTTTGCTAAATGTGGACACCTGGAGGCCTTTTTCTTACTAAAGGCTCTAGTTTACATTCTCAATGAGTGATCAATAATGACTAATGAGGCCCGCAAATGGGCCTCAACAATGGAGCTATGAAAATTTTGGTCAATATTTTATTTTGAAAATGGCTAGTTTTAGTTGAAGGATATTTAGTCTGTTCAAAGGGAAAATGAGTCAAGATAAAATATCTAGGCCTATCAGGTGCTTTGGATGCAAAATGCTATTATATAAACATTATAGTATGTTTGGATACATGACAATACTAAAAAGTACGTTTGATTTCCTTCAACACTACTTTTGGGGAAAAAAATATGTTTTACCTTTGACCAAAATTAACTCTGGACCTTCCATATAAGCACAAACATTTTATGATGTAATTTCGAAATTGTCAAGGATATGCAACCATCTGTTATTGAAATCCGATTTCCCATTTTAAATACTTGACACTATATGAGTATGCAGTTGCAGAGACCAAATCCTTTTTCTCTACTGTGTTGGAAAGATTATAATTCGATTGCTTCTTTTTGTTAGCTAGATGTTTTCACAATTGCTTTGGTTTCTGCAGATGCCAAAATGGATAAAGAGGATGCCAAGACTAACGGTATTTATTAAATTTTATCCTTCACTTTCCTTTTTGCCTCTGTGCACACACACACATGTGTTTATATGTATTTTATGGAACAAATCTTCATATATTTTTGTTTTTAAAATTTATACTTTTTTAGTCATCCCATTTTTATTTAGGTACACTAGTGCGGTAAATAAAAATTTGAACCTCTTCTCATTGAATGCATTTTGATTGTTGATTTTTTGAGTTTAAAAAATGTTATATTCTTGCCACATCAGAATTTTTATGTACTAATAAGGTCAAGACATCAAACTCTGTGCAGCGTCTAAAGGGAAGAAACGAAAGCATGATGTTGGAGTCGAGGTTTGGTTTATTTTGTGGTTTAATTATATTTCTGGCATATTTTTTACTTGCCATCTCATTTGGGTTCAGTTTCTCTCCTTATAATGAATTAGCATCTTTGCTTGTTTTTAATTTCGTATGATAAAGTTAAAATGCCATAATAAATACCAAGTGTTTCAAAGGAGTAAGGCTGAAACTAAAAGTAATAATAAGATGAAGAAATTCGGATTTCAATCGTTCTTATTTGTTTCCTTAAAAAAATGAAAATACCCAAGTTTGTTTGATATTTGATTTGTTTGGAATTTATGATTTTTGCCACCACTGTTAATTGAAAATATTCTGCTAAGTGTTATTTTCTAATTATTAGAAGGGCAGCGGGACTGTTGAAAAGCTTGTCAAGATTCAAATTCCTGCAACATTAAAGAAACAACTGGTTGATGATTGGGACTCTGTTACTCAGCAGGATAAGGTACAAGGAAAACTTAAATTCACTCTTTGTAGTTGTTCTCTCATATATGCTAAATGCACATTTGTGAGTTAGATTTTGTGCATGTTTCTGGTGAAGGTTACCATAGCCCCCGGAAAGGGAAAACCTGGAGCCAAGTTGTTTCCCGTTTTCTTCACATTAAATGTTAATATTGTGTTTGTGCAATTTAACACATCAGAGAGCAGTTTGTAGCCATCTGTCTGTGTTGGTTTAGTTGTTTAAGAGAAAGCAAGTTTTTCTGTTATGAAAGGAGGTCCTTTCACAAGGATAAACCCTTGGAAGAGAAAAGGAAAATTCTTTCCCATTTTCCTAATCTGTCCATTTCATTCAGTAATAAGCAGTCTTTGGGTTCCTAACAGCACAGACTGTAATATGCGACAAGTGTTCAATGAAACTTTTGTTACTTAGTAACTTGATGATAATGTTATTTTAACTATAGAGGTTTTGGCTCTTCTTATTTGTGAAGTGTACTTCGGAGAATTAAGTGTAGAGTAACGAATGTTGATCTGGAAATTAGGAGTGAGATTTAACTGAATTACGTGACAATGATCTTACAGACAATCAGCACTGGTGTCTTCTCAACTTGTGGATAACTTGTGGATGTCTCTTCTAAAATTTGCCTGCAGTTGTTTGGCCTTCCATGCCCGCAGAATGCAGTCTGCCTAGATCTTCAAACTTCAGATATTATGCTTTATTAATTTTCTGAGCAAATTTAACAGAATTATGGCCATCCTTCCCATTTTTCTAAAATACATTTTTATGTTTATATCTTTGTCTGACAGTTTGTTTTGGTACTGATTCTATGATTGATTGTTTAACACTTTGTTATATTTAATCATCACTCAAAATTATAGTAATTTTTTAATGCGTGAATCATTCCAAAATGTTTTCTTTTGTTGGTCTCTGCAGCTTGTCAAACTTCCTCGTTCTCCAACTGTTGATGAAATTCTGACAAAGTACCTTGAGTACAAATCAAAGAAGGATGGCATGTAAGAAATGATTGATAATTAAAATTCATATCCTTTCTCTTCTATTCTTGCTAGTTATTTGTTATTTATCCGACATGTACATCTAGTTGTAGCTATGAGATGCAAGCTGTGGACACCTTATACTAACGAGGAAACCATGTACTCTGTCTATGTGATAACAGGGCTCCTGATTCAGTAGGAGAAATTTTGAAAGGAATAAGGTGTTATTTTGATAAGGCGTTGCCTATGATGCTCTTGTACAAAAAAGAACGCAAGCAATATAATGATGTAATTGTCGATAATATATCTCCGTCAACCATATATGGAGCTGAGCATTTATTACGCCTCTTTGGTATGATTGTTACTTTTTGCTTGTTCTAAGTGTCTTTGATAGGAGGATCTGGTGTGCGTGCACAATCTTTGCTTGCATTGTCTTTGGACACTCTTTATCATCAGTTTTCATTTCTCTTAATTGTGTGGTTCTATTAGGTAATTATTTGTCAGTTAAATTAACAGACAATTACTCTTAATCCCCCCTCTCCTCTCTCTCTCTCTCTCTCTCTCTCTATATATATATATATATATATATATATATATTTATTTCTCATTCTTGTTTCTTTTAAGGGTGATTTTGAGTTGGTATTTAAAGAAGGTTCTGTCAGCTTTGCTGGATGAAATTTGACAATTTGACATCATTAACCATTTAATGTTTTATTGCTAGTTGCAGGAATATAATTTCCATTAATGTTTTAAGTTTCCTAACTATTGATTTGCCTGTAAAATTTAGACATCGCTGTCATTTAATGTTTGGTCGCTAGTTGCAAGAAGTTGGTTGAGTTCCAATTCGATTAATGTATGTATATTTGTATTTCTAGTCATTATGATGGTGGAATATACGTTATTGTTAGGAGTATAACTTTGAATGTACCGTGGATCAACATATCTGATTGAATTATTTTTTCTCTTGTGCTTGCAGTTAAGTTACCTGAACTTTTGGCTTATGTAACTATTGAGGAGGACACATTGAATCGCTTGCAGCAGAAATTACTTGACTTTCTCAAGTAAAAACCGAAACCCAGCTCATTCATTATATTTAGAAAATTAGATACTATTACCATGGAATCCCATTACATATCAAAGTGCTCCGATACATACTGCACTGAAGCTTTTCATCTGAAATAATAACAATACTGTCACACTCATAATTGTTAATGTATTTAATAATTATATGTATCTCGTTTTCATAACCTTGTTTACAATCTCATGTTGTTACATATTTAAGTTAATTTCCATCTAGAGATATATGTTTTGGTGATTAAGTGAATAAATTAAAATATATATGTGCTTTCCTCGGCAATTCACTTGTATCTTTCCATTGGAGAGAGTATATTTCTTCTCCTGACAGGATAAATAGGGTAATGTTTATCTTAAAACTTTATGTTCTGTATAAGGTTCTGCTGCAAATGTTTTTTATAATAAACTTTTTGCAGGTTTTTGCAGAAAAATCAAAGTACCTTCTTTCTTTCAGCATACGATGGTACCAAAGTCTCTGAAGGAAAAGGAAAGGGGAAGGATGAATGAGAAGAAACAATGAATCCTTGGTCTTCATCCTGTTGTATTCTTAATTGTTATGGACAATATCATCTTCCCTTGAAAAATTCAAGGAAGAAACTAAATTGTTGTTGTAAGAATATTGACTAATTCATTCTTTAATTTTTAAAGTTTACATAACGAAAACGCATTATTATTATTATTATTATATGATTTTATTCTTAAAATATCACTTTTGACCGTGCTACCAAAAAAAAAAAGTTATGCTCTGCACCAGGAAATAGTATACACTGTTATTCAATCATTAATTATCATGTCGTTTTACACTTTCATGATTATTAAACTGAAAAACCTAGTTTGTTTCTTATTTATATAAAAGGTCATATTTCTTTTTGTTAGTGTAAGAAATAATAAAATACGGGTTTTTTTAGTTTATAAAAAATTGTTTTGTTGATTAAAAATGCTACTATTGTTTTTTTCTTAATTTATACAAGGAACTACGGAAAATAAAGTTTCCATTATGTATCAATGAAATAATCTACGTATGCATCATTTGAATTTCACTTGGTTAGAAAGTTTTTACCATTGAAATTAGTTTTAAGGATAAAATATTTTTGGTTTTTCATGAATTGGTTTTTGGTTAGAATTTATTTTAGTCCTTTGGTAATAATTTTTTTAAATGTGACGATATTTGTTTCTCGTCAACTCAAAATAAATGTAAAATTGAGAATTATTTGTCACATTAAAAAAAATATTTTGAAGTATATAGGGATTAAAATTAATAATTTGACTAAATCTAAAGGAGAAATGAAGCACATTTTATCTTTTCTATATTTTTTAAGGGAAGGAGAAAATGGCATCAATTAACCAATAAAAACTGGTGAATCTATTTATTTATATTTACCAATTAAGACGAGCATCCTAGTGCACCCAAACTCAGGGAATGAGCACATTATGTGGTGGGGATGGCATAACGACGAAGTGAACGGTTCATTTCAATTCCACTCTATAGTGACCCAGAGTGAAGAAGGACCAGATCAGAACAATAATTATTAATCTGTACGACAGAGCCATAGTAGAGCCTGACGATGGTCTGAAGCTCCTCTTCGAATTTCCTATCTCAAGATGGAAACGCTTCCTTACTCAATCCCCACTACCAAATTCCACTCCCGTCATATTTACACCGCTGCTACACGAATTCGATCCTCCAAGCTCCCTTTTCGACCGCCCCGATTTTCAATCCAACCTTTATATTCCCCTAAATTTCTCATTCTCCATCGTCACAGGCTTCGCTGCGTCGCTGAATCCTCCAATAATCTCCACAACCACAACCACCACCACGACAGCGACCATAACGACCATCACAGTCATCACGACCATCACCATCACGACCATCAAGGTCACCACCACCACCACTACCATCATCAACATCACCATCACCACTCGCACGGAGTTGATGATGCTAATCTCACCGGGCCCCAAAAGGCGGTTATCGCGTTCGCCAAAGCCACCAGATGGATGGACCTGGCAGATATCCTAAGGGAGCACTTGCATCTGTGCTGCTTCTCCACTGCTTTATTTGTGTGCGCTGCCATTTGTCCTCATACCTTGCCCAAGCAACTCGTCAAGCCTTTTCAAAACTCTCTCATTTTCATCGCATTCCCTTTGGTTGGGGTACGAAGCAATCTCCCCCTCCCGTCTCATTTTCGGTATACTCCTAGACTATTATTACACTCTGCATGTTTGTTCCTATCAGGTTTCTGCATCACTTGATGCTCTTATTGAGATCAGTAGTGGAAAGGTGAACATCCATGTGTTAATGGCAATGGCAGCCTTTGCATCAATATTTATGGGAAACTCTTTGGAAGGAGGCTTGCTTCTTGCAATGTTTAATCTGGCGCATATAGGTGAGCTGAATTTCGTTTCACTAACCTAGGTTCAAGTTTTATGTTCTGCCAGAAGTTTGATTTGCTTGTGTGAATGGATTCTGTAGCCGAAGAGTATTTCACCAGCCGATCGATGGTTGATGTTAGAGAGTTGAAAGAAAATAATCCAGATTTTGCCCTTGTTCTGGATACCAAGGATGATAAACTCCCCAATACATTTGACTTGGCATACAAGAGGGTTCCCGTGCATGATGTAACTGTAGGATCATATATTCTGGTTGGTGCCGGCGAGGTAATTTTTTTGTAAATTTTTGCCTCGCCTCAATTTTGAAGTTTGAATTGATTCAGTTTACCTTTGGTTTTCTTCAATATTTACGAGGAGGTTAGACCGTGACTAATGTCTTCTAATTGTTTTTTATGCTTTCAACTGGATAAGCATTTTTTATTGTAATCATTAACTGATGCTCATAACAATTTTTGGTGATTTGGATATAGTTAACCTTTGCATATATGGGTTTGTTACCTTGCTGCATAATGAATTGATAATTATAATAAATAAATTATGATTCCAATTCTTTTTATAATGTCCTTGGAATAATATTTAATGGTTTGAAAAATATTTACACGAACCAAACTTATTTTGCAGCTTAATTTGATCCAGAGTACACCCAACTCGTCTGTAACAAAGTATGTCACGGGGTTCTGAAAATGTTACGTCCCAAATCTTTGAAAATTTGTTTTTAGAAAGATTGCTTCAGTAGTTGTTTTTAGTCAATTCCCTTTCAAGATTATTTTTTATTAAAATTCAAATTCCTGATTTTCTTTTGTCGTTTAAAGCATTCCTGGTCCTCGTGTCATGTTCTATGTCTCCTTTTAATAAATGATGATTTTTTATGTTGCCCCTTCTCTCCCCCTGAAAGAGGGAAAAAAAAAGTAGTTTCAGTCAAACCTTAAGTATCTTCTAATAAACAACACAGACTCATGCAAACTCATACATGCACGATTTGGAATTTCAAGTTTTATACAGCAGATTATTGTTGAAGTATAATGGGGATGGTGTTGTGATTAGTCTGTGCCAGTAGACTGTGAAGTATTCCAAGGCAATGCAACAATTACCATAGAGCACTTGACAGGGGAAGTGAAACCTTTGGAAGCCAAAGTTGGGGATAGAATTCCTGGTGGTGCAAGGAACTTAGATGGGAGGATAATTGTGAAGGTATGTTGAACTATACATCAATGTTTTGGGTTTCAGCAATTTTTATATATTCTACTAAAATTGAAAGTCTTGTGTTTATATTTACATTGGAAAAAATGGTAATAATATTGGTAGTATGAAATTGTAAACAGAAAAGGCAATGGCAACAATTGTACCTGGGCAGGGGTGGTGATAGATATAGTATGGTAAAATGGTGATTTTTCATTATGGTGATGAATGATACAACTAGGAGAATAAGGTCAAAATGGCAGTGTTAATGGATTTGGAAGTAATAGTAAATTGATTAGTAATAACATGATGGCAGTGGCAACAATTATATAATTAATTTGATTGCACTTTTGATTGTTCTGATTATTGTTTTTTAATTATATTTTTTATTTTAGGTGTATGATGGTAGTCTGCTAGTTCTGAGGTTGTTAGGAGTGATGTGAGGATGCTCAAGTTGTTGGAGTTATTAATAGGTAGTTAGTGACAGTTGTTGTATGTTTCAGATTGATATGAACATCTTTAATTTAATTTTGGTAATTGTTGGAGATCTTACGTCAATTAGAAATATGATGGAAATATAGTATGTATGGGGGATGCAAACTTCATAAACCGGTTTTGGTGGGATTGAATTAGGCTTGTTGAAGTATTTATTAGATTAAGTGTATCTTGTTGGACATTTATGAGATTAGTTGTAGACCTAGTTCCTAGAATGCATCTGTTTATCTTCTCTAGGATTAATCATGTCTCTCTATTAATTGTATCTCTGAATCTGTATTTTTATCTCCTATAAATAAGAGAACACAAGATGATTGCAGGCTCTCAAAATCAGTTCTTTATTTTCTTTTTTCTATTTCAAATTGGTATCAGAGTGGGTTCATCCCGCTCTGCCTGTCTCTGTTTTTTTTTCTGGCATTAATCGCCGTTCACTGCCGTCCGCCGACGTTCGCCACCGGTGCTGTCTTCTCCGGCGCCTTTTTCCTCTCTGACACTTGGGTTTGGCTTGCCTCGAGGAGCGCGACCCAACCCCAGTGTTCGCTTCCTCTATCTCTACCTCACGCGCCGCCACGCGCCACCCTCGTCCGTGGCTTCCTCCGCGCGTGGGCCTCACGCGCCGCCCTCTCGGTGGCTGTTTTGCTCCAGGCCACCTCTATTCGGCTCGCCTCGTCGCCCTGGTGCCAGATCTGCACTTTGTTTTGTGTTCTCGGTCACAAAACGTGGTGGATCTGTGTTTTTCTCTCTGCCTCTCTCTGACAGCACGCTGGTCCTTTCGTGTTTCCTGTAAAATGTCAGGACCTGTGTCTGTATCTTTTTCTGGGACTCCGACTATAACCACAAAAAAATTAAATGGAAAAAATTATTTGTCTTGGGCTTCCTCTGTTGAGCTCTGGTTTCTAGGTCAAGGAGTTCATGATCATCTAGAAGAAGATGAAAGTACTATACCAGCAGATCAGGCTCCTCAATGGAAGAAACTGGATTATCAACTTTGTGCACTATTATGGCAATCTGTTGAACCACATATTTTGAGCACTTTCGAGCCTTCAAGACATGTAATTCTTTTTGGAAAAAGGCTCAAAATATCTTTGCTAACGATATTCAACGACTTTATGATTACGCTAATAGACTAGCCTCCCTTAAGCAAGAGGATAATTCCATGATGTCCTTTGTTGCTTGAAGCTCGATCAGTTGTTGAAGAATTAAAAATGTTCCTGGAGGCGAGAATCATTAGAAGAAAGGAAGACGAAGGCTGGATAAATTCTATATGGTAATGATTCTTAGGGCTATGAATCCAGAGTTTAATCATGTTAGAGACCAGATTCTAACTGGAGAAGAAGTTCCTTCTACGGAGAGTTTAATCACAAGGCTACTTCGTGTTCCTTCTATCAAAAGCAAAAACAGTCAGGAACTTGCTGATTCTTCTGCCATGATTTCTGCTCGTGGAAGAGGTAATCACAGCTCTAGAGGACGTGGTGGGAAAGGATGTCCTCAGTGCTCTCATTGCAAAAGAATGGGACATACTAAGGAAAATTGTTTTGCTCTGCACGGCTTTCCTGATAAGGCAGCTAATACCTCAAAATCTGAAGTTGATGAGCCCAAGTTCTCTCATGAAGAGTATCAAGAATATTTAAGGATGAAATCAACAAATTTGGCTCAAGCATCTACAACACCAAATTCGTCAACCGCTTGCATTTCGCAATCTGTGGAAAGTCAAAATCCATGGATTATTGACTCAGGTATTTCTGACCACATGTCTGGTAATACCTCTTTATTTTCCTCTCTTTCATTTCCTAAAACATCCCATCTCATATCTTTAGCTAATGGATCTAAAGTAGCCTCTAAAGGAATTGGTCAAGTATCCATCTCTTCTTCTTTAAACCTTCAAAATGTTCTTTGTGTTCCTTCTTTTCCATTCAGTCTTGTTTCTGTAAGCCAATTAACCAAATCATTGAATTGCTCAGTAACTTTTAATGCCAATTGTTTTGTTATCCAGGAACGTGGTACGGGTTGACTGATTGGAGAAGGACGTGAATCTGGAAGCTTATACTACCTTAGGACTAAGTCATCTGTATCTTGTGTTGCGTCCTTATCCCCAAAACTGTTACATGAGCGATTAGGGCATCCTCATTTAGAAAAATTGAAAAAAATGGTTCCTGAACTTCAGAACCTTCAAACTCTTGAATGTGAATCCTGTCAACTAGGGAAACATACCAGGTCATCCTTTCCAAATCATTCTGAATCTAGATGTGATTCTGCCTTTAGTATTGTTCATTCAGATATATGGGGACTTAGTCGTGTTTCATCTTTTGGTTTTAGATATTTTGTTACTTTTATTGATGGGTTTTCTAGATGTACTTGGGTTTATCTTATGAAAGATCGTTTTGAACTATTGCCTATCTTTAAGTCTTTCCTTAATGAAATCAAAACTCAATTTGGAAAAGTAAAAAGTTTTACGAAGTGATAATGCCAAAGAGTACTTTTCTAATGATTTTTCTAATGTCCTAAATTCTCAAGGCATTTTACACCAGTCCACGTGTCCTCACACACCACAGCAAAATGGTATAGCAGAACGAAAAGATAGACATTTGGTTGAAACTGCTCATACCTTATTGCTGGGTGCCAATATGCCTATTCATCATTGGGGAGATGCTATTCTAACTGCATGCTTTCTCATTAATAGAATGTCATCTTCTTCTCTTGATAATAAAGTTCCACACTCTATTCTATTTCCAAAGTAACCAATTTTTCATGTTTCTCCTAGGGTATTTGGATGTATATGTTTTGTTCATGACATGTCTCCTGGCTTAGATAAACTCTTACCTAGAGCTATCAAATGTGTCTTCTTGGGGTATTCTCGTCTTCAAAAAGGATATCGGTGTTATTCTCCTGAAACCAAGAGGTACTACATGTCTGCTAATGTCACCTTTTTTGAATCATCATCCTTCTTCCCTTATTCTATGCAGGATATTGATTCTGTCCAAAATGTGTTTCCTGTTCCCTTAGTTAAATCAGTTATACCTCTTATTCCTGACACCCCAAATCCCAACCAAAATACTCTAGAATCAGCATCACAGCCTATCATCACCTATCAACGCAGGAACCAGGTGAACAATCCCATTCCCCAAGATGAGCCATCCATAACAGGCCCTTCACCATCATCCTCTAATACCACGACTCCTGATAACGATGACTCCAGTTGGCCCATTGCCATTTGCAAAGGTACTCGTTCTACTCGTAATCCTCATCCCATTTACAATTTTCTTAGTTATCATAGATTGTCTCCTTCCTATTGTTCTTTTATTTCCTCTGTCTCCTCTATTACAATTCCCAAAAATGTGGTCGAAGCGCTTGATCATCCTGGATGGCGACAAGCCATGATTTCTGAAATGCAGGCTTTTGATCACAGCAAAACATGGGAGCTTGTTCCTCTCCCTTCGGGAAAGAAAACAGTTGGTTGTCGTTTGATCTATGCTATTAAAGTTGGGCCCAATGGTCGGGTTGATCGTCTTAAAGCAAGGTTAGTGGCTAAAGGGTATTCTCGGATATATGGACTTGATTATTGTGATACTTTTTCTCCAGTAGCCAAAATGACCATCTGTCGCTTGTTCCTTGCCATGGCCGCCATTCGTCATTGGCCTCTTCATCAATTGGATATTAAAAATGCTTTTTGCACGGTGACTTAGAAGAAGAAGTTTACATGGAGCAACCTCCTGGATTTGTTGCTCAGGGGGAGTCTGGTTTGGTTTGTAAATTACGTCGATCCCTCTATGGCCTAAAACAATCTCCACGTACTTGGTTTGGAAAATTCAGCTCTATTGTTCAAGTTTTTGGATTAAAACGCAGCGAAGCAGATCATTCAGTGTTTTATTGTCACACTGCTCCTGGCAAACATGTTTATTTAATTGTGTACGTTGATGATATTGTCATCACAGGGAATGATGCTACTAAAATATCTCAGCCAAGGTTATCAGAATCGAGAGTCTACGTTGACTCGCGAGAGCTTCATAGACTCGACTCAGTAAACTCGACTCGTAAACCCGACTCGTAGACTCGTAAGAGTCTACTTCATATGAAAAATTCTATATAATAATATAAATTCAGAATTTCATCATCAAAATTAATGAAAATAAAAAACAATAGTTCAATAATTCTAAAATAACTTGGTTCAACACACATGATTGTTATATAAGTTCAAATTACACCAAATACATAAGTTAATACAAATCACCAAAACATAAATAACTTCAACTTTCTAGCTTCAATCCTCTAATGATATCATCTCCAACATCATCATCTTTTTCATCTTCATCATCATCTTCTCCATCACCATCAACCTCTTCCTCGGATGATAAGAGTGCATCATCAACATTGGCATCAAACACTATATTATCAAGATCAATTGGTTCTAAAGTAGGATCAATTGAACTTATTTCAGCTATGTCAACATTTTCCTCATCACCTTCACCTTGAACTGGCTCAATCCCAACATTATCACCATTTTCTGTTATCCATTCATCATCAGACTCAATATCATCAAATGGGAGAGCAAGCTGTTTTCCTATTTTGTTTATTTTTGAGCTTCAAGTTGTACATGACATAAACCAAGTCATTCATCTTTTTACGGTGCAAACGGTTTCTTCTTTTTGTGTGAACCTATAAATAAATATGAATGTTTAAATACAAAAAATTAAAAACAAATAATAACTTAACAAATTTGACTTACCATTTCAAATGAGCTCCAATTACGCTCACACCCGGAAGAACTACAAGTTAAGTTCAAAACTCGAATAGAAAATCGCTTCAACTCTCGGAGTTCCATCTCCAAACATTTCCCACCATTCTCCAGGAAGCATAACTTTTCTACAATCTTTTGCATTTTCCATTGAGAAAAGTCCTTTTGCAAAATGAAACTCTAGAAGTTGTAAATTAATTTTTTTCCTTTACTGCAACATCCTTGACCAATCTTTTCATGCATTCATACAACCCTTCTTTTACCTCCACATCATCATTTCTAAAATTAGGTTCATAGTGCATGTGAGGGTTAAGGTAATATGCAGCCGCATGCAAAGGTCTATGAAGTTGATTATTCCACCTCTCATCAATTATGTTCCAAACGGGTTCATAACTACAATGATGCAATCATGCAATGTTAGAAATAATTACACAAAATAAAGAATGAAAATCTGAAAAGAGAAAGTTTATAAATTTTACCTTTTCTTAATATTATTAAAGTTAAATTTGATCTTCTCTTTGGCGAGAATCCATTTCTTCATAAATGAAACCCATTGCGGGTTTTATATCCGAATCCACTAATCGAAGGACCACCATCAAAGGGGCAGCAACTTTGAGACAAGTGGTTACATTCTTCCGAAACCGACTATCTAATACCACATGCTCAATTTTTCTCCCTTCCATTGAAGTTCCAAATTTGCTTGATTTCCACTCATTAGAGCTAAAGAAGCTCATCAATGATGCTTTCAATTCATGAAGACATGCAAGAGTTAGATAAGATGTGGCAAATCTAGTCATACCTGGCCTTATCAAGTCTCTACCTTTGGTAAACTTCTTTAACATGCTAATTAGCATTGCTCTACCATAAATGTAGGTAGTGATTCTTCTTCCCTTCTTGATAGTAGTTTGATGGACCTTCAAATGTTTTTCAAAATCTTCAAAAATCAAATCAATGCAATGGGCAGCACATGGGGTCCAATACAAATGCTCTCGTTTTTGCATCAATAACTCTCCAGTTGCCTTGAAATTTGCAGCATTATCGGTAACCACTTGAACCACATTCTCCTCTCCAACAAATTCCACTACATCATCCAACATCTTAAACACTTTATCTGCGAGTTTTGAGATATTTGATGTATCCAATGAGTAAAGAAACACAGTCCCTTTAGGACTATTGACTAGAAAGTTACAAATAGAACGTCTTTTTTTGTCGGTCCATCCATCGGACATGATTGTGCAACTTCGTTCTTTTCCACTCCTCCTTATATTCTTCAAGGATTACATCGGTTTTTTGCACTTGCTTGTTTCAAAAGTTTTTCTCTAATATCATGATATGATGGGGGTTTGTAACCAACTCCATATCTTCCAATCATCTCACACATTTTTGCAAAAGCAGGATTTCTAATAACATTGAATGGAATGGCACTTGTGTAAAAAAATTCCGCCACTTGAGCATCAACTTTTTCTTTATCTCCTTTCTTATACAATTGATTTAAAGTAGATTGAACACCTTGACTGAATTTGTCCTTTCCTTTATTTTTGAACATCATACTACTACTACTTTGAGTGGTATCCACCTCTTGAATGTGCTCATCATCATACTCATCAATTATATTCAGTCTCCTTTTCTTTTCTGAAACATCTTTAGCCTCTGCCACAACTTTCATCATTACAACTTTCACTTCTTCAGAACTGAGGCACATGGTTCGAGAATCATATCTAGTACCAGCAAGATGATGTTTGAATCGAAAACTCCTCCATTGATTATTTTTGAGCAATAATTACATTTAACTTTTTTTCCATTACCCGAAACATCTCGTTCAGTGTTTCCATCCAATGTCGGTCCGATTTCCTAAAGCATTTTTACTTCTAGGTCTACGAGGTCTAGGTAGTGAAGATACATTAACATTGGAATCACAAGAATTTGAAGCAGTCCCACTTCCGGACATTGCAAATCGGTCTCAATTAACTAAAAATAAAATAATTTATTTTTTTAGAACAACTATAAAAAACAACTAAAATAAAAGATAAAATATGCAACAAAAAATAAATTCAATAAATAAAACAGAGAATAAATTATATAAATACTACCTATTCAATAAATAAATAAATAAATAAATAATATAAAAAAATTTATCGGCTAATGAATAAAAAAAAAAAGTTTCGAGTTAAAAAAAATGCATTGCATTTTACGGAAATGCAACGCACACACATCCTCCTCACACTCACTTACGCAGTACCTGCGACGCGAGGCGAGGCGAGGCGACCGGAGCTGCTACGGGAGGCGACCGGAGCTGCGACGCGAGAGACGACGACGCGGGGGAGGCAAAACGCGACGTGACACGATGACGCGGAGCTGCGAGGGCTGAGCTGCAGGGCGACGCGACCAGAACTCAACGCGCGACACCACTGCGGGGACGAGGGAGGTCAGATCTGTTCAATTTTCTCTTCTTCTTTGATTAGGGTTTTTGATTTGGGTTTCAATCGTTTAGGTTTTCGATTTGGGTTTCAATCGTTTAGGTTTTCGATTTGGGTGGTTAGGGCTTTTGTTTGGGTTTAAAATCGAAATGGTAACGACATTTTTGTTTGTCGTTTCGTCCTCCCTACGAACTCGGTGACTCGCTCTCAAACTCGCGAGTCTATTCTGAGTCAGCGAGTTTATTCCGAGTTCACTCCGAGTCAAACAAAAAACGAGTTTATATGCGAGTTCACCCGTAAACAATAGCTTGACTCGCTGACTCGTACGGGTGTACGAGTCAACCCGCGAGTTCGATAACCATGATCTCAGCTAAAAGAGCACTTGTGTAGTCATTTTCAGACCAAGGATCTTGGAAATCTAAAATATTTCTTGGGTATTGAAGTAGCTCAATCAAGAGAAGGTATTGACATCTCTCAAAGGAAGTATGCTCTAGATATTCTAAAAGAGACAGGTATGATTGATTGCAAACTTGTGGACAGTCCTATGGATCCAAATTTGAAGTTAATGGCAGGACAGGGTGAAGTTTTCTCTGACCCAGAAAGATATAGAAGACTGGTTGGGAAACTTATTTATTTGACGATTACTAGACCTGATTTGTCCTTTGTAGTTGGTGTTGTCAGCCAATTTATGCAAGCTCCTTGTGTGGATCATTGGAATGCTATCATTCGAATCTTAAGATACATTAAAAAAGCTCTAGGACAAGGATTATTATATGAAGATAAGGGAAATACCCAAATTTTTGGGTACTGTGATGCTGACTGGGCTGGATCTCCTATGGATAGGCGTTCCACTGCAGGCTATTGTGTTTTCATTGGAGGAAATATCATTTCATGGAAAAGCAAAAAGCAAAACGTTGTTGCCCGATCCTCTGCTGAAGCTGAATATAAGGCAATGGCGTCTCTTACTTGTGAACTTGTTCGGGTAAAACAATTCTTGCAAGAATTGAACTTCTGTGAGATTCAATCTATGAAGATGTATTGTGATAATCAAGCTGCTCTTCACATTGCTTCCAACCCAGTATTTCATGAGAGGACTAAGCATATTGAGATTGACTGTCATTTTATTCGGGAGAAGTTGTTGACTAAAGAAATTTGTACTGAGTTTGTTGGTTCCAATGAGCAGCTTGCAGATGCATTAACAAAATCTTTGAGAGGACCTCGAATGGAATTCATTTGTTCCAAGCTTGGTACATTCAATTTGTATGTTCCAGCTTGAGGGGGAGTGTTGAAGTATTTATTAGATTAAGTGTATCTTGTTGGACATTTATGAGATTAGTTGTAGACCTAGTTCCTAGAATGCATCTGTTTATCTTCTCTAGGATTAATCATGTCTCTCTATTAATTGTATCTCTGAATCTGTATTTTTATCTCCTATAAATAAGAGAACACAAGAAGATGATTGCAGGCTCTCAAAATCAGTTCTTTATTTTCTTTTTTCTATTTCAAGTAGGCTTAAACAACACTTCAAGGCTAGTCTAATGCAAGGTTAAGATAACTCACTAAAGGGGCTAGAGAAATTCTCCTAGACAAGGAAGAAGATAACCTCAATCGAACCTTAGTCCGGATTCGAAAACAAAGAAGAGACAACTTTGATCATATTATAAGATGGTATCAGAGTCTATCTTAAATACATTAAAATGGTCACATACCATATTATTATCCACAAGCCAAACCCAATTGTACTAGGCGTGAGTGTATTGGAAAAATATCCAAGTCTTGTGTTGATTAGAAATAAAGCCAAAAAGGCGTATATTTTTAAGTGGGGTAATCCACATCTTTGCTGGTTTTTGTGGAGATGAATCCACGTTCTGAATGTAATTAATTGCAATGATGACTTGACATTAACCCTAGCTAGTTTTGAGAATAAATTTTCATCGATGATGATAGAAAATTAGGGCAATGAGTCATGCATACAGATATGTATGGACAACTTACTAGAGGTTGTGATACTAGTGTTTCAGTAATAGTTTGTCTTGTTCAACAATTAAACTTTTTAGTGGGTGCTTGTCTTGTTTAAAGTGTGTTTTTTCTTGGAAATTTACCTTACAATACGACATTTATTGATTGCAGGTAACAAAAACATGGAAGGAATCAACTCTCAGCAAAATTGTTCAGTTGACTGAAGAAGCACAGTCAAATAAACCAAAACTTCAAAGGTGGTTGGATGACTTTGGTGAACGTTATAGCCAAGTTGTTGTGGTGCTATCAATTGCAATTGCTGTTATTGGGCCACTTCTATTTAAGTGGCCATTCATTAGTACATCTGGTAATTTTTGAATCTTCTTAGACTATTAGTGTTGTATAATATAATTAATAATTTTTAAAATTTGATTCCTGATTATGTTTTTATCCTGTTGTTATTTTGTTTTGTTTTTTTTCTTCTGGGGTTCAGATATACCATTTACTTGTTTCCTTGAGTAATCATCTCGTAGAAACTTGGAATTAAAGTAACAATGATCAAGCTGTTTAAAAGTTACAAGTAGAGGTAGCCCTTGCTTACTAAAATCACAAAGGAAGTGCAGGAAAAAGAACAAAAATTACGAGAGAGATTCTGCAAATGCACAAAAAATCTCACGGGTTCCCCAAATCTCATCATTTTTCAATTCTTTTCTACCCTTTCTCACTCTTCTTCCTCACATTTATCCCAGCTTATTAGTTAGTGCCTTAATTACTCCACCAATTCCTTCTCATTCGTATTGTGCTAGCTATTCAGGCTGTTAAAACCCTCTTCTGTCTCTTTCTCTGTTTTGAGGATAGGCACTTCAATTAGCTCTCCGTCTTTATTCCTTGTGTCCCTTCAACTTCAGAACCAGATTGCCATTGTTTCTTGTCTTTCATGGACTTGGGGCAAGGCATGTATCGTTGTTTAACAAGTGGTTACTAAAGTTTCCTATCTGTTAATGTTATCCTACAGTAATTATCATTGATTTATAAAGTTATCGAGTCCCATGTTTTATCAAATCCTTCTGTTAAAAAAAATGTAGTATCCTAAAAATATGTTGTCGAATATCTATATATGATGTTAACTTTTGAATTTCATCTTATTTGGTGTCTGATTGATGTAGCTTGCAGAGGTTCAATTTACAGAGCGTTAGGGCTTATGGTGGCAGCATCACCTTGTGCCTTGGCTGTGGCCCCATTGGCATATGCTATAGCAATCAGTTCCTGTGCCAAAAAGGTATCAGTTATCTACTCAGATATATAACTCCATGTCAAAATATATTCAGATTTAACTTCATATATGAAGTTATGGGTGTAAGCAAGTCGTGATCAACCTATGAATTCAATCAACTCAATCCAATCCAATTACATTTCAGTGGGTTGGATTCATCGGGTTGGCTTGGATCTTGTTTCATCAGATTGATTTGAGTTTATTTTTGTTGACCCAATATAATTATATTGGGGATAGGTGTTAGGTTAATGAGTTTGAAACCCAATTAACTCAACCTAGTTCAATATACATATACGAAGAATGCTAGGAATTCCTTCTTTCTCACACACTCTCTTAATGATTAACATTTATTGAAACTACACAATAAGAAGAGAAAATCATTGAATAAAATGCGGGTCTTAATTTGTTGTGATTTCCAATAAATTTTAATCAATGAAAGAGAGTGAGTCCAAAAGTAGAGTGTGTTTCTAGTATTTCTCTACTTACAATATTAATATTAACTTTATAATTATTCTAATTCTATTAGTATGTTATGTGAGCATAACCCTAATTCACACAACTATTGACCAGTTTTGTCAACTTGTCCAAGACTTGAAGTATCAAACTGCCCATATTCATCCTTTTTATGTGATTCAAGTATTGTTAATGTTTTTAGGACAAGTATTATGCCATTTGTGACATGTATTTTGAATATATTTTGCTTGTGATAGTATTGGATTTGGAGAGCTAGACTTGTATTTAGCTAACTCTTGCAAATTTGAATGTTTTGATTCTGAATAGGTTTAACTAATTAGGCACTTCATTTTTTTGTATTTTTTTTTTATTTTAGAATATATTATTATTTTAATTAGTTGATCTAATTACCCTAATCAACCAACTTGACTTAGGTCAAGTTGGTGGTTTGCGGTGCTCAACAAAAAGCAAAAAACAACAAACCCACCCCAGCTATGTTTCATTGGATTGAGTCTTGCATTAGACCAATCTCAACCCAAGTCAAGCCACTTACACCCCTTTATGAAATTGCTCTTCAATTATGAAGTATTTGCCCTGTCAATATGATTTTATTTTTTCATTTTTTTGTGTTTCCCTGTATATTTTGAAGATTTATAATCCTGCCCCTTTTGAAAATCTTATACTCAGTGCTATAATTTCCTAAATTAGTAAGATCCTTGAGTTGGGCCTTAAGCCAAAAATCAAAGATGTTATGAAGAGTTAATCCATTGTTGGGTTACTTGCATTGCCTCTTTCCATGCACATAGCCTTGCGCATGACATGATATGCTGGAAAACTGCTTTAATTGTGATTACCCTTAGCTTGCCGTAATTGCAGTCTTAGTGGGGTGTGTTGAGACCTAAATCACCGAGAGATATGACTTCAATTGAAATTATAACGCTTGGACATCCTCACTTTACAAGATTGTATTAAAGTCTATCCTAGATCTATTGTTGAGTCACCAGCATTAGATCTAACTCATAGCTCTGACATAATGTGTGGTGTGTTGGAAAGTCATCTTAATTGTGGTCACCCTTGGCTTACTTTAGTTGTAGCCTCTTTTGAACACTTCTATTGTGCTAAGTCTAAGGGGTCTGTTTAGCTTTAGATTGACTAAAACTATGATATGACCATTGTAATCCTTGTAAAGTTTAAGCAATCTTTATCTTACACGTCGGTTTTATGGGGGTGAATTAAGATTTACATCTAACTTCAAAACCTTGTAACTAATGTTGTGAAATCTTTAATCATCTAAACTGGTATTAGCATTTAAATTTCTATTTACCCATTTTGATGAAGATGAAAGATCTTCCATTAATTGTCATGCTAAGAAATTCTGAAGCTTTTGTATGTCAATTATTGTACATGGAGTAGAGTGTGATTGAAGAAAAACTAAGCCACCAACAAGGTTGATATATTCTATAATAAGGAAACAAGTAATGTCTTTATGATGAAACTAACTTTTACTGCTTGACTAAAGATTCTCGAAGAGGCCTGTCAATATAATAAGGTGAATTGAATGGAAGACTTTGATTACACAATTTAAGTCCGTCAGATGTTTAATTTGTTAGTTTGAGTCAATAAGTTACTAAAATTATATCAAAATTTTAAGCATGAGATGCTTTTTTTTATAGTGGGTGTGACAGTTACCTCAATTTGCAGGGGATATTACTCAAAGGTGGGCATGTTCTTGACGCTCTAGCTTCTTGTCGTACTATTGCATTTGACAAAACAGGGACATTGACAACTGGTGGACTTGTATTCAAGGCAATTGAGCCCATTTATGGTCATCATGTTAGAAACAATGAATCAAATGTTTCTTCTTGTTGCATTCCCACCTGTGAAAAAGAAGCTCTTGCTGTTGCTGCAGCTATGGAAAAGGGTACTACACACCCTATTGGAAGGTAACATTTTGAATAGACTGTATTTTTGTTATTTAAATTATGATCTTTCCTTTTACTAGTTACAATAGTGGTGGTTGTTAGTTTTCTAGAAATCATATTTTATTCGACTAATTAAAGTAGGAGTACCGGAATATATTATATAAACATAAACTATTGGGCTTATGGGCCAAATACCACTATAGTATGCTAACACTTCCTCTTAAGTTAAAACATATAGATTATATGCCTCAAGCTTGTTTCACAAACATACATAATTCGGGAGAGCCCTAAATATTAGCTAGTTGTTCAATAGAACTATTGTTGCTAGTAACATTACAAGCAAAGAGATCTTTTTCTCTAATAAATGACTACCACTTTAATATGTTTGGTCCTCATGAAAATTTGGATTTTGATAGAAAATTTCTATCCAACTCAGTATATTATGAAGTAAAAGGCAATACAAAAAGGAAAGGAGAGTAAGCTCCCGACCAAAGAAACCTTTGAGCTCTAATTACAATTCAAATAAACCCTGTCTCCAATATTTCTTAGTTGCATCGTAATGACTACGTAGGCAGAATGAAGGAATTGAGTCAATACTGAAACAACACAAGAAATATCTGGACTTATGATAGTAGTATAACTTAGCCCACCAACTAGTCTATGATATCTCCCCAAATATGTCAACGACTTCCCCAAGAAGTTTAACTATTGATTATTTTGGTGCAAAAGTGTAGTGGGTTTTAGTAGAAAAGTAACTATAATGACATCTAGTTGCTGAGACCACAAGAAATGCCATTCTGACAGCCCTGCACATCACAGGTCTTGCGCTGTAGGTTGGGCATAAAAGAGGTGGCATGGTTTCAACTGTTTTTTCAACTTTTCAGTACTATCTTGATCATGTCCAGCTATGAGAGCATCGCCAACATAAATTACTAGATAGTTATGTATGTTAAAGATTGTAGGATTTGAAATCGAACAAGATATGCCATATTGGTGGGTTTTTCTATGACAATCTGGGAAGTAAAAAAAAGAAAAATGTGAGGAAATTACTTCTAACCTACAATAATTAAAGATTCGTTTATCTATATCTTATGTCATTAAATGCTAATCCATATGAGATTCAACACAATTCAATTATTTGAATTTCAGTTAGGCCATTTTAAATGTAACAATAAATCATGATATCAAACTGATTATCTATTTTCAGTCCTCATGCATTTTTCTTTCTGTAAAATGAATTTTAGGGCTGTGGTTGACCATAGTGAAGGCAAAGACCTCCCATCCGTTTCAGTTGAAAGTTTTGAATACTTTCCTGGTAGAGGCCTTACAGCTACTGTTAACAACATTGAGGTATGTTGTTATTGTGTGTGTTTGTCAACCCATTACTTGAATGTTCATTTTTCATGACCATGTATTGTTAGTATCTCAAGCTCATGTTGCATACATTTGTCATAGAGAAGTAGATAGTTATCACCTGCACCCATCTACATCTGGTACCATCCCTATTGATAAGATAGTTAGTTTGGAGGAGATGCAGAAGTAGTAGGGATCGTAATTGGATTGAAACTGATTAACACAAGCAAAAGTATGCACGATGCAGAGACAAATTAGTTGCTCAAATCAGTGTGGGTTTGGGTTTTCAGCACGACATGGCCACATATTTAGTTCATTGATGTTATAAATTTAAGTGAAAAAATAGTGCTGATAAATTAAGACATTTGACATTACATACATAGAGTAGTAATAATGTAAATAGGGTAATTATGGTTTTCAAACCTTTTTGGCACAATTGTTCAATAATTCAATATGAATCGAATGAAGTTAACTACCAAATTTTAAATCCCCACCTTGCTATAGGGTGCATTTACTTCATTATGTAAGTTGACAACATTGTTATTATAAGTAGTAATCACCATGGCTTCACTTCAATCAAGTATGAATTGTCACCCTTTTTAGATAAAAAAATCTTTGTTGACTCTAGGAGTTCATGAATTAGTATAATCCAAGAATGGTAATGTGATTTCTCAAAGGAAGAATGCAATGAATATTTTAGAAAAAACAAGCTTAATGAGCACTCAACATGTTGGATCTCCTATGGATCACATTGCTGAATTTTTGTCAAGTTAGGGAGAGTAGATATATGAAAGATTGATTCAAAAACTAAATTATCGCACAGTCACTTGTCTAGCTATCTCTTGTGTTGTTAGTATGATAAGAATATTTCTTAAGTCTTCCTTTAGGTATTGGGATGCAATTATCCACATTTAGAAGTATATGAAGGGGGCTCCAACTAAAGGTCTCTTAAATGAAGGCAAAGGTCGAACTCATTACTCATCAGGAGTATTCTATTGTAAATTAGGTAGGTTTTCATACTAACAAGAGGTTTACTTTCAAGTATTGCAATTTTATTGGTAAAAACATGAATGCAAACAATGGGTTTAGGTATGGGCATATGGGACGTATACACGCCATAACATCCATTGTTCCTATCATAGCATCACTCCTAAGAGCTGAGTATTAGTGACTTAGTTTATGACACTTCATTTGATGATATTTCAAACTTTCTGGTTGGTTAGGAATCCTTTACCTGTCATAACACTCTCTAATTAACATTTTTTAACACTAACAACTAGCTTTGATATCCAATAAGCACTCAAGAACTTGGGGAACCTACCTTGGTATTGCCTACCATGGACATTAAAGTTTCTATCCACTTAAGTTTGGGTTTGAAGCCATGACATTTTCTTTTATACATAAGTATGTGGACAAATAGTATAGTATCCTATATAAACTCTTTTCATTGTCATCCCAGTGAAGAAAGGAGAAACGTTTTGCATTGTATCAACTAAGAACTAGTCATTAGCTCTTGTAAAAAGTGGGAATTGTTGGAGAGATCTTTATCCTTTTGTTTATTTTCTTGGATGAGATAACTAACTATTAGAAATAGCTACATATAACGGCCCAAGCCCATATCTTTTTTAATCATGATATCTATATATATTTGTTCCTATGCTATGCATAATACAAACAGGGATTTCATTCATATGTCTCTCTACCATTTACTTTAATATGGTATCTAGAGCCTAAACCCTAACTTATACCTTCCTGATGGACCCATTGTCCATAAGCGCCAAATTTTTTCTAGAAATTATGTTTCTTTCTGATTTTTAGCTTTTTTCTCCACTATTGTCCACCATCGCAACTGCAAAATCATCATCCTCTGTTGGGTCTCTCTTGTTGTTTTCCCTTTCAAAAATCATGTTTCATTCCAATTTTTTACCTTCTTCATTGTAATGTTATGTATTGTCACTGCTGCATAATCATCATCTCATTGATGGGTCTTCCTTGTTGTATTTTGTAGGGTTCATGACCTCTTCAACTTTTGTTAAGGTTGATCCTTAAATTTTCATTAAGTATGTCAATGTGCATCTCTCAATTGACAAATTAAATGGAAATAATTATGACTAGTAGACCTCTGATATTAAGGTTTGGTTGAAAGGACAACACTATATTGATCATCTAATATTCATCCCTTACTCCCATCGAGTCTTCGAGTTTACCTGCATTGTTCATCACCTAGTCCCTGGTTAAGAAAAACTATCAATTAGGGTTATCTCAATCTCAGAAAGGGTATAGGTGTTACTCACTCTCCTTTCAACACTATTTCAGTTGATATCGTCTTCTTTAAGTCCTCCCTTTACTTTGCCGTTAATTCTCTCCCTTCTAAGTGCAGCCCATATCCCACAACTATCACCCAACTTGTTTTTGAGCTTACTGTCACATCCAATGCACCACCAAATCAATCATCACCACTTTTTTTTTTTCAGGAGTAACAACATTGGCATCATCCACACTTCTAGTATGACCACCTATTAACTCTTCCTTGGTGCCACCTCCTTCATCCCCTTCGGCTCTTTCACATAAGTCTAACCTTCCTATCACTCTTTGTAAAGGTATATATGCTCCACTCACAACCCTTCACCTCATTATATTGCTATGACATCTCATCAATTATATCCATCCCTTTATACCTGTTTTTCCTCTAAAACTATAGGTGATGCTTTAGCCTACCCTAGTAGGAGAAAAATCTTGCTTACTGAATTGTGTGTTCTTTAGGATAGTGAAACTTAGGAGCTTATTCTTTGATTTTCCCTGTCGTGCATGAAATCAAATATTTTAAGTTTTCTTTAATGATTTTGCAATATAAAGTACAAACCTTGGTCACTCTCTCAATGGCACATTTTGAATATATTTAATTTTTAAATTTTTTTTAATAGAAGATAAATTTGAGGATTTAACGATTACAAAATATAAAACAAAAATTAAAACCGAAAACTATATTTGAAACTGAAATCAATAATTGAAAGATAGATCAATCCATGGATTCAACAATCAAACAATATGAATATCATAGTTTTCTAAAGATTAAGATCCAAGTTTGAACAATTAATCAACTAAACCCATTATACAAATTAAATCAAAGTATCATTCAATCTAATTTGTATTTAACTATGAAAAGAAGATTCAATCAATTCCTAATATGATTTTCAAAATCAAAATTACAAAGAGCAAAATCGAAATTAGAGAAGGGAAAAACAAACTTGAAGTGAGAAACGATTGGTGCGAAATTCAATTCGACTTATTTTATCTTGATTCCAGGAATTAATCCTTAAGATTTAGTTCTTCATGGATGAAGAACATAAATACAATTCAGAGAAGAGGAATGGTCATGAACGGAATTCAAAGAAAAGAGAGAAAAGACATTTCTTAAATTGAAAATCTAATAAAATGTTTTTTTAGATGAGTTTAGAGCACATCTAGACTATTTAAATGTTCTCAAGTTTGAAGCAAACACGAGTCTAAATGTGGGCTCTAATTAGATCCATAGACCCAATTACAAAAGGTAAGCTAATATAAAAAAAAAAAAAAATCTAATCTGCATGAGTTACTTTACAAAATTTCAATAAATTTACCTCAACTTCTAAAAATCGTAGAAAATAGCATAGAACTCCAAATCTAGCAAACTATATATCCATTTCAAAGCCTTAAAAATTTAGAATCCAATGTAACTTGAATCAACAAAAAATAATATCTACAGTAAAAGTTATGGTCAAAATAGTAAGCAAATGCAAATATGTATATTGAATTTTATTTATTTCTATGGAAAGGAAATGAATTAAAAGCTAAAAAAAAGCATATGAGTGCATTCACTATACAATAAAGTTATAAATGTGTATACAAAATGTGTCAATAAGCCTTTGCTCCCTGAAAAATTGTAGTTGGTTATGGATGTATCTTTGCTATTAAGGTTGGCCTTGATGACATTAATGATCGGCTCAAAGCCCATTTGGTTGTCAAAGGTTATACTCAGATATTTTGGTTGGATTATAGTGACACATCTCCAGGTCCCAAAAATGACTTTTATTCACTTATTCCTTGCCTTGATGGCTCTTCGTCGTTGATACCTTTATCAATTTGATGTCAGAAATGTCTTTCCTCATGGTAATTTGTATGAAATTTAAATGGTGTAACCTCCTAATTTTCTTACTCAAGAGGAGTCTTCATGAATAGTAAGTTGTCTCGGTAAATCTTTATATGCTCTCAAGCATTCTCCGAGGACATTGTTTGATAGATTTATTGCACTGATCCAACAATTTGGAATGATTTGTAGGGAAGCATGTCATTTTGTGTTTTATCGTTACACAAATAGTGGGTGTATCTACTTTGCAGTCATCAACATAACATCTTACAAATAAAACATCTCCGTAATTGTTTTTATACAAAAGATCTTAACAAACTAAGATATTTTTTGAGGATTGAGGTAGCACAATCCAACAATGGAATTGTTATTTCTCAAAGAAAGTATTCATTGGATATTTTAAAAGAAGTTGGATTAATAAATTCCAAGCCTATTGACTTACCCATGGGTTCAAATACAAAACTTCTACTTGGAGAGAGGGAGCCACCTTTTTATCCTAAAAAGTACAAAAGGTTTGCTGAAAAATTAAATTATGGTATGGTTACTTTTCCAAACATCTCCTTTGCAGTTAGTGTGATAAGTTAGTTTCATAATTCTTCATGTATAGGACATTGGGATGCAATCATTCGCATTTTAAAGTATATTAAAGGTGCTCCAAGAAAAGACTTGTTATTAGGGAAGACAATTAAACCCATACCCGTGGAGATCGACCCGTCCCCGCCCCGAGTTTGATGGGGAAAACCCGAGTTGACCGGGGACTTAAATTTAAATTTTAAAATATTAATATTTTAAAAGTATTTCCTTTTTTTTTCTATTACATATAAGGTCATTTTTTTATATTTCACCAAAAAAAATTCTTCTACCCACTTGTAAATTTTTTTGTCTTTTTTAATCTTTTATATCAATTAATTTATTACATTATTCTTTCTTTTACCTTTCGAGTTTTTCACATTTCCGTAATCTCTCCCATCAATTTGTTTTTTTTTTCAATCTTTTCAACCAATTTGATGAACACAAAGTTAAATTTTTTTATTCTTTATCTTTTTCTAAATATTTTACATAAATCTTAATAGTAACTAATATTATTTTATTTATAATTTATATTTATTAGGTTTTATTATGTCATATTTTTTTATCTTATTATTCTTATTTATCATATATCAAATTTTATCTTAATAAAATAATTGTATTTTAAAGAATTAAAGGAATTGATAATTTAAATTTTTATTACTTCGAACTAATTGAATAAGAATTAACTTATTAATTATTTCCTTATAAACTATATATTTCATATTTTTAAATGACAACTTAAAAATGAATTAATTTATATATATATATATATATATATATATAATCAAATGTTTGAATACAGATATTATAATAATAATGTTATAAATATTCAAATATTTGAATACGAGTATTTTAAAAATAATATAAATCGGGGACAGGGACGGGACGAGGGCGGGGAACCCGAAACCCAGCGGGAACGGGGATAGGAACTTAATTTCTAATCCCGGCAAGGATCGGAGGCGGGAACGGGGATGGTTAAAAAAGTCGGGGCGGGGATCGGGGAGGCAATACCCACCTCCACCCCATTGCCATGCCTACTTGTTATATGGTCATAACAATTACATCGAGTTGTGGGTTATTTTGATACAGATTGAGCAGACTTTCCTTCCTCCTTCTGAGAGGAGATCCACTCCTATATATTGTATCTTCATTAGTAACAATTTGATTTCTTGAAAAAGCAAGAAACAAATTATAATGGCAATATCTAGTGTAGAAGTGAAGTATAGAGCTGACCTGTACCACTTGTGAGCTTATTTGACTCAAATAATTGTTTAAAGAGTTAAGATTTTGGGAGGTCACATAAATGACTCTCATTTGTGACAATCAAACCGCCTTACATATTGTCTCCAATCCAATATTTTATGAAAGGACCAAATATATTGAGATAGATGGTTACTTCGAAAACATTGTATCGAGAGATATTACCATTCAGGTTGTAAATTTCAATAATCAATTCACAAATGTTTTCATTAAATCATTACGAGTTTTATAGAATTAACTATATATGTAACAAGTTTGGTATATGTACACTAACTTAAGGGGAGTGTTAGAAATAGTTAAATGTATAGGCCCAAGTGCATCTCTTTTTTAATCATAATATCTATCTTCTGTTGTGCATAATACACAGGGATTTTATTCATATGTCTCTTTACCATTTACTTCTAACACCAAATATCATGGATTACATCCTCATTATTGGGAGGAAGTCCAGCATTTCTAAGCCTAAACACATGCACAAGTTGATGCAAATGCTGGATATTCTTCTTGAGAATGAAGGGGCCAATGGACAGTCCTTTGAGAAAATATGTAGTGCAAAATGGATGTTAAGAGGGTTCGAAAATGAAAGAACCAGACCCATTGGTGTTTGTTTTATCCCATTTAGAACTAGTTTCTTTGATAAGAAACCCATATGAGAGACTAAGGAGAATAAATTATTGTTTAAAATTACGTTTACCAATAAATATTGAAGCTGAATAGATTATTTGAAATTAACCAAATTAACTAGGGGCAAATTATAAAATGAGCACAAGCCGATAATTTCATAGTAGTTTGAACCAACCAATATGCTCCATTTTAGTAAGATTTCGGCTAGAAGCATACCAGTAAGGGTATAATTGGTGATTTGACAGCAAAAAACAATAAAAAATTCCATATGGAATATTATTTGCAATGCCACAGGATCCAGTAGATTAGGTAATGATTGAAATTTTAGGTCCACTTTAGATCAACTTCTTCGTAAAAAATTGTAGGAGAAAAAATGAAATGAATTTTACCCAATGCCAAAATTAGCTTATGTATCAATCTAATTTGTAGTAGTTGTCTCATTTTAGTTTATTCAGAACTTGATTTTAACTTGTGTATGAAAATTGTTTTAATTTATGAGAGAAGCTTATTTCACTTTTTTATTTTCTTCTCGTTAGTTTTTATGGAGAAGCTTACTAAACAAATTTTTAATAGTGTATTAGAATAATTCATACTCAAAATTCCCATACCCGTAGATAAAAAACAGTACTTCCTGTATAAACTTCATAGCTGAATAAAACATTTATTTCCAATTCACATGGATAAAAGTAGAAAACGGGGAATTGATTCATATAGTGTTCAGGTCATCCACGAATACCTTACTCGGAAATCATGCCTATTATCCCGGAAAGCTCGTATAGGATAATAACCGACCCGAGAGGACCACAACTGAGAGAAAGAGACAAATAAAAAATAAACTTAGGACTAGGAGAAAGGCAGACTCAGATATAGTTGATTGGAGAGCTCGATCTCTAGTAGCAACAATTCAATTCCCATTTTATGAAAAATGTAAATAAATGTCTTGAGAATAAATTGGTCCCATTTGACCTCTCTTCATTGCTAACATTGGTAAATAGAATAATTGGAATGCTTGAGCAATTGGCTGAGCCATATCTTATCTTCTCATACAGTTTATTGTGAAATGATGGGGTAAAATGGCTCAATTTTTTTTTTATTATAGTCAGGAACTGGAGGTGCCAAACTGTTAAAAGCATCACTTGGATCTATAGATTTCGTCACTTCTTTTTGTCAATCTGAAGACGAGTCAGAAAAGATCAAGGAAGCAGTTAATACATCTTCTTATGGAAGTGAATATGTTCATGCTGCCCTTTCAGTTAATCAGAAGGTAGTATACTTTAATCAACTCGTCCTTTTTTCTAGGAAGGAGTGTTTCTTTAAGCTTTTTCATAGATCTGTCCAGCTGAAGGTAGTATACCCAAATCTTTGAACTTCTCTGGCCTGTTTACACATCCTCCAGTAAATAAAACACATTGGCTCTTCCACATGTGATATGCTACCGTCTCATTCTCAACAGTCTCCACCTGAACCTAAATGTCTGGTCACTTGATGCAGGTAACATTGATTCATCTAGAGGATAGGCCTCGTCCTGGGGTTTTTAATGTTATTCAAGAATTGCAAGATGAAGCAAAATTTCGTGTGATGATGTTAACCGGTGATCATGAGTCTAGTGCAAGGAGAGTTGCAAGTGCTGTGGGCATCAATGAGTTTCATTGCAACCTAAAGCCTGAAGATAAGTTGAGTCATGTGAAGGATTCTTCAAGAGAGATGGGTAAGTTCCTTGGTAAGCGTTTCTTTTTATGGAATTTTGGTACTTGCACGTTAATGGTTCCTTTCCAATATAAGTTTTGCTCGTCCCTTCTTGCAGCTTGTAGCTTCAACTGCACATGTAAATTTTGCAGAACTGAAGCTAAAAAATATTTACTTTTACTTGCTTCACTTTCAAGTCTCGTTTTGTTTTACCTTTGTTGATCAGTTCTGAGACTCATCATTTGTTTATGATGAGACTATGTTCTTAACTAGGTTCCTACATACATTTTGACTAAATTGCATGATGTCTTTTTCACATGTTTTGTTCTATTGAGCCATTTTGTTCATACCTCTGACAGGAGGAGGCTTAATTATGGTGGGTGAAGGCATAAATGATGCCCCAGCACTAGCTGCGGCAACTGTTGGGATAGTTCTTGCTCACCGTGCTAGTGCAACGGCCATAGCTGTTGCAGATGTATTGTTGCTCAGAGAAAATATTTCTGCAGTGCCATTTTGTATTGCCAAGTCTCGCCAGACAACTTCACTGGTAGTTAAATAGAAATAGTTACAATACATTTTTTCTTCAGCTCTTGGATGCTGTTGACTTATTTCTGAATGTACGTGCAGATTAAACAAAATGTGGCTTTAGCATTGACGTCCATTGTTATGGCTTCCCTTCCATCAGTTATGGGATTTCTGCCATTGTGGTTAACGGTATGAAAATTCAATTTAAATTCTCTTTCTGCCATTCTGCTGTATGACATTTGTTTGCCTTTGGTGACACTATGTCCAAATGTAGTGAATGACTTGAACAATCATATTTTATCTGGTTGTGATAACAAATCCCTCAAATCACGATCATTTTAGTAAAGATTGCCATTGGCTGTATCCATAATACCACTGACTTGAGGCAACTCCCCACCCTTGGGGATAAAAAAAAAAAAAAACAAAAAAAACAAAACAAAAACGAATTTGATAGGTGCTACCTCTATAATTAAAGTATGCTTTCCTTAATATATTTGTTGTAGTGACTGTTTGGATTGTCGTTCCCAGCCAGTGAATATATGTTGGTTGTCCATTGAGAGAAACACCTCAATTGTATCTTTTGATCTAAAAATAGGTTTTGGGTTTTCAGATAAACACAGGCTTTTTACATCCCTCAGAATAGGTTCTTTTAGCTTTTGGATTATCCCACTACTTTAGTTGCGTGATTTTCTTCTTTTAAACTTGTTTTCCGTGGTTGCTCTTTAATCACGTCTTTTATTTTTCCTTTTCATGCATGCAGGTTCTTTTACATGAAGGTGGAACCCTGCTTGTCTGTCTCAATTCCGTACGTGCTCTCAATGAACCATCTTGGTCATGGAAACATGATATCTTATATTTGATGAGCCAGATTAAATCTAGACTTCTGTCTCTCAAGACAAATATCATGGGCTCAAACAGTATCATAACGGCGAATTTGTAATGTAGCGTTGTAGTATATTCCATATTTTTGGTGTATTCAAATAAATGTCAATATCCCTTTCCTTGTATATCTTTAGGCATCTTTTTCATCCCAGAAAATTGAAAATTCCTTTCTGTTTTAGGCTAGTTTCCCTTTCTTTATAGTCTTCGTTTTCCCATTCAAATGGAATAAAAATAAATAGCATTTAAGGGAACTATACGCAGAAACATTTCGCAGTCATAAAACAATCACATTGACCTAGATTATTTGCCCTCAAAATTTGAAATTACATTTTCAGCATTGACTTTGCGATGAAAGGCTTTTCTTTCGTGGCCTTGATAATGGCATAAGACATTTATTTAACTTTTTTCTTTATTAAAGTTGCTAATCGATTTCTTGCCTAATTTCATTGCTTAAGTTTCTGAACAGTTTTCTTTATCTTTTTAGTTTCATGATAAATGAATTAAATAATTAAAGGAAAGTTGTTTTATTCTAGGTATAGTTGTATTATTCGTCCTATTATGTAAAAGATTTATTTTGGTCTAACCGAAGATAGCATTGACTTGAAGGTGTAAATAACATTGTGTGATGTGATTACGTCATTTGACATGATAGTCCACTGGAAGTATATTTAGTTTAATTGTTAATTAATATCTTGTCTAATTATTAAGCCAATAAGCTAATGATAATCACATTTTGTGATGTAGCAGCAATTTCATGTCCATTTTATGACATGTCATTTGAAAATATTGTCGTGTCACAAATTGTAATATGTTAATCTAAAAATTAACAATTGGACAAACTATTAGTTGTTGACTTAGATTTCGTTGATTTGAAAAGTGTTAAGGACTTAATAATTAAAATTACAAGATTATAATCGCCATAGTCAGACTATAGAAATTAAAAATGCAATCTAATCATTGTATTTGAAGATATTTTTTTATTCATGGTTTGTTTTATATTGTTTATCATATATAAAATGTGTTTTTAGCATCAATGATAAAATTAGAAACTAGAATAAAAAATCAATAAAATGAGAAAATATTCACTTTCATACTTTTTAAATAAGAATTTTTTTCTTATTTCTAATTTTTAAAATATATCTTAATAGTTTGTACATATATGATTGATTCATTTTCTTTATATATATATAAATAATTTAAATTAGTTATTTAGTGTGTTTTCATTTTAGTTTTTAAAATATTTTTTAGGAAAAAAATATATTTGATTATTATTTTAATTTAGGAAAATGAGATTAATATATTATTAATATTTACTATTTTATTATTATTTATTTATTATTTATATATAATAGATGAATAAAATCTTTCATGTATCACTTATTTTTTTTAAAATATATTTTCACAATAAAAAAATTTAACAAATTGGTTGTTATTATTTTGTCGGGATTTGTAGACTGAATGAAAAAACCAAATCACCAGTTATTATTCTACCACAAACGCTACAATTTATGAGTAATAAAGATATAATCTTATCTAAAAAGACTATATTTAAGAGAAGTATATTAATTTATTTGTTAATGTTAAATGATCTTTATTAAAATAAGTTGGTATTGTATAAATTATTCTTATTAAAATCATTACCTTAAAGTTATTCAAAGGAATTTGACACTGTTTAAAAGTGTCTTAAACAATTAAGAAATATTTAAATAAAATCTTAAGTATTACTAATTGGTAAAAAGTTTTGAAATTCTAGAATTGCAAGTATTGGTAATAATGTAATGGTTTGTCTTTGACATAAGTATTACGTCCCTTCTTGTATAATGTAACAAAAATTGAAGATTAAAAATTATATTGTCAAAGTGTTTTATTATATTCTATTATATTATCAAAGGAGCCTTGAAAGTAAAAAACTACAAAGTTAAAAAATATAACTAAAATAATGATACATGTGAATATAACTAAAACAACCGTACATGTGTTTTATCTTTTGTTCTTATTACAATTTTACATTACTTCTTCTAAGAAGTAAATATTAAAATTGAAAAATATTTTTTTAAATGGTTAATTTATCAATGTCTTTAACTTTCACATCTCTATCTATTTAAGTTAATATTTTTAATCGTATTATACATAAAAGATGAAATAAGAAAGTGAAAACAAATATTATGTCAAATAATATTATCTCAAAATAACATATAAAAATTATATTTTTTATTATATCAACACATTCCATTTTATTTTAAGAATATTTAAATTAATTTTTGTAGTAATTAATTACAATAAATAAACATAAAATTAATAACTATTTGATAATAATTACTCATTTGAATGGTCAAGATCAACTTCCAATTATAATGTCATCACATCTTCATAAATAAAATATTATCTTTCAAGAAAAAAATTAAAAATAATTTAATAATATAAATATAAGATAATAAGGAGGATTATCACATAATGGAAAATAAATAAATATAAAATAAGATCAATACATAATAAAAGATAAATAAATATAAAATTAGATCATAGATAATTATAAATAAATAAATAAATACATATAAAATAAGATTATTTAAAGATAAATAAATATTAAAAAAATAAATAGAGTTAGATTAAAAATATCTCACTCTACCATCATAATTATAAGTAAATATAATTAGAATCATAAATATTTCATCTCATTACCTTCACACACAAAATCTTTATAAAACATATTTATATATTTTCTTGCTCTTTCTTTCTTCTATCTTCCTCTCACACTCCCTTTTTCTCTCTTCCCTCTCTCTCTTTCATTTTCTCTCTTTTCCTTTCTTTTATTTTTTTTCCCATTTTTTCGCACAACTCCTTTTATACTTACATTTTTTTAATTATACATAAAATACAAGTAATTATGTTCTTAGTTTTTTTTTTAACAAAACTTATTTCTTCTTGTAGGAATAGATAAGATCTCTTTCTTTTTAAATTAAAAATTATTTTTTTAAATTAATAATTAATATTTTTTTTATTTAATGAATATTTTTCTATTTTTATAATAATAATAATTATTATTATTAAATATTATTTATTTTTAATAATAATAATAAATTTTCTTTTAATAAATGGTTTTTTATAGAAATATTTAAATTATCTAGAAATATTATAATTGAATACACTGTATTTAAAAAAATTTAAATGATAAATTTTGAAGTATTACAATTATATAATTATTATCATAAATTTCTCAAAGACATCAATAAAATTATTATTTTTAAGTAAGAATTTACAGTACAAAATAAACAATGATGAAATGTATAATATAAGTTGTAATTAAAAGTTATTCCAGTGTAATATTAATTTTTAATATCTTATATACTTATAAGATTAATTAATATGTGAAGTGTTGTTGAATTGTTAGAAAAAAATTATAATGTATCTTTTTTATCACAAATTTTTAATATTTATATGAAAGGTAAAAAAATTTCTTTATATTTGATGGAAGAAAAGTTAGTTTATAAAAGAAGATATAAAAAAATAACTAAAATTAAAAAAAAAAAAACATAATGATACATACTTTCTTAATATATTTTATTTAAAAATAAAAATAAAAATGTTGATGAATAATATTTTTTCACATAGTTTGAATGTAATGGAGTTTACCATAAATAAATAAATAAGAAGAAATCATGGAGGAATAAATTCACATGTAAAGAAAGAACGTGAAATTAAATTTAGATGTCATCCATGCAACTTAAAAAGATAATGATAAAAACTAAAAGTAAAATAAATAAATAAAATATTAAAAAATTAAATTTGAAATTTAAAATTTAAAATTCAAGTAAAGATATATTAAGATAAATAGGATAAAAATTATTTTTATGTTTTGGTTTTTAAAATATTACTTAGATAAAATGAAATTACATCATTGTTTCAAAAAAATTAAAATTTAGGGTTTTTAATATATATTTTGATATAAAAGATACAGGATAGATTGTTCGTGGTAATTTATTTGTGCATTTTGTTTATAAAATAAAATATAATAAAATATTAAATATTAATAATATCTAGTTATTTAAATTAATATAATAATATAATATTTTTATTCTAAAACATAATAAAAGTCTTTTTATATTTAATTAAAATAAAAGATTATATATATATATATATATATATTAAGATTAAGATATTAAAATTTAATATTTATTATAATTTTAATTATATATATATATATAATATTTTTAAATTCATTCATATAATGTATCTTTTATTTTTTAAAATATATATTTTCTAAATCCAAAAATTTAATCTATCACCCACCAAAATTTCAAAATTTGTAGTAGTGCAAGGAAAGAAAAAACTATAATCAAAGCATAAAACGGGAAATGAAGGCTTGTTTGACTATTTTGTTCACCGTTTAAGCTAGAACTCTAATTTGTGTCTGAGATAAAACCAAAAATTAAAATATGTGTAGAAGTACGTGAATTTTAAGGTATTATCTATTTTAAGATTTTAATTCGTCCGATAAGAATCAATGTTTCATCTAGAAATAAAAGTATTCTGACGTCATGTACACTATGATAACATTTGAGGTATTGTTCATTTTAAGATTCTAATTCATTATCGTGGGAGTCAATGTTTCGTCAATAAACAAGAGTGTCCTGACTTCATGTCCAAGAGTATCCTGACCTCATATTCGCTATAATAATTGTTGGGTTGATGAAAATAATAAGTCTTTAAAAGTTTCACATTACATTGGATAAGTAATGGAGTGAGTAATAGTAGTTATATAATGGGTTTAAAGTCCATTGTATTTCTCAGCCTAGTCAAAGACACTTTAAGCATGTATTTTACTTTTCTTATATTCTGCAATAATGTTGAGAGATTTAGTTTAAATTCTTGTTTTGGAGAGTGTGAGTGTATTTGGGGTCAAAGGGCATAAGAAAGTTGTCAATATGTTGTACAAATTTTCACATAGTATTATTATCTAATTATTATTAAATTACGATCGTGATTTTTCTTCAATTTTAATGATTATATTATCCGTGACATTTTTTTTTCATCAATAATGCTATGATAACATCTGAGGTATTGATCGATTTAACCAAATCTATTAACAAAACATGTTTAGATTTTCAGTTAATTTGAATGGTTCATCTTAAAGTAATTATTGCCCAATATTATGATTGTTGACTATCCATGAATCTTGGATAAATGGTTTGTTAACTTCTGGATGTTATTTTAATGTCACTTAAGGAAAAGAATATGATTTTATCTCATTTAAAAAAATTAATAAAATAATAAATGTTTTTTAACTTTGATTCTATATGGTGACAATTTTGTACAATTAGGAAAAAACTTATATATAATTTAATAAATGTATTTCGTATTGTTTTTATAATTAAAATTGAACTTTTACTTTGAAAATTTATGTAAACATTATTTTTCCTAAAAGGAAAACTTCAATTTTAACAAAACTACTTAAAATTTATCTATTTTTTTTATTCTATTTTAAATATTTAAATATAAATAATTCACTCAAATATAGGTAATACCATTTTGATTGAAAGAAATAACTTGTATTTAGTATCTTAAATTGGATTGTATATGTAAGAAAGATACTCTTACATCTAAAATGCCAAATACACAAATTGGTTTTTATTTTTTTTATTATTGTTATTATTATTTATATGACTATGATAATAAATAGGTTTCAAGTCTCTTTCTATCTTAACATGTAGTAGTAACATCGGTCTATTATCTTCTATTATTCGTTTTAAAATTCTCAATCTTATCTTAAAAATATGTATTTATGGATTAAGAGATAAAAGTGAATATAAATTACTTGTACTGACTGTTGACAAATATATTTATTAATGAATAAATTTTTATTGTTTTATGGTGAACTTGTATCCTTTAATTTTATCATATCATATTCTCAATGGAAAAACTCACTCTTCCCATATTTATCATTTGTTAATAAAATATCTCCATATTTAAGGGAAAAAATTAACTTACAACTTTCACTTTCATTTGTTAAATGATATAAAAATAATAATAATAATAAATAAATGTAAAGAAAGAAAAAAAAAACAGAAAATTAAAATAGAGTAAAGAATATTATTATTTATTTGAGAAGAATAATAATTAAAATAAAATTAAACATTTTTTAATTATAAAATTACCCATATAATTATTAATTTCTTTTTATGAATAAAATATTTTTTAATAATACCTTTAAATTAATATCTCATATTTTTAATAACATATATTTTGATATATAATTATAAAATTAATTTTTTAATTATTTAAAATTAAAATAATAAAATAATATAAATAATTAAATAAATAATATTTATTTAATTTTTATAATTAATTTTATATTTATGATATTTTATTAAATTAATAATTATATATATACTAAACTTATAAAAAAACAATTAATTATTTAATTAGAAATAATTTTATAAAATAATATTTTTCTTCCATTTCTTTTCTTTTTTTCACTTATACATAGAAATGAAAAATAAATATGTATATCACAGTGAAAATTTATATTTTTTTTCTTTTTTACTTTCCTAACTATTAAATAAAGGAAATATTTTCTTTTTACTCATTTCTCATTATTACTCACTTTTAACTATATACTCTATCTAAAAAAAACACGGAACCTTAATAGTTTAATTCTTTTATTAATTATTTAAAGTGAGACAAAACAAACCTTGCCTCTTTTAACACGACATGTTTTAGTAAAAAGATAAAAATGCATATGGAGTTATTCTTTTTTAGTAAATCAACTTAATTTAAAATATGCTTCATAAAATAATATTGTTTTACTTTTTATCATCTTTTAAAATTCAAAAATAGAATCACATAAAAAAAAGGAAAAATAATCAGACAAACTTCTTAGTGTAAATTATTTTAGATAAAAAAAAACTCTGAAAAAAGAAAGAAAGATAAATAATAGCAATGAAAGTTTCTTAGTATAAATTATATTAAATAAAAATAAAAGACAATTGGATGAAAGAAAAGTTTAGGTGACAAATAAAAGTTTCTTAAGGTATTGTACGCACATTATCTCATATATTTTTTTTAATCGTAATTTGGACATGTTTATAAAGTAAAAATAAATAATTTATTATGCATATTGAATTATTTAAAATTAAATAAAATTATTTAAATTTTTTATATAAATAACTTGAACTAATTTTTAAACAATTTCTTGTAATAAAAAATTTATTTTTATTCTTATGTCCCTTTGAACAGGAGTCTTATATGTTAAAATATTTTTTTGTGCAGCTAACGTTTTAAATTATTATACCTTTGATCTTTAAATGTATAGGATATTTTTGTACTATCCATTTAAACATATCAACTATTCAAACTTTAGTATCCATGACTAGGGTCAAAATATGATATTTTAATTATTTGTTATCTTTTTATATACTTATTAAGATTAACTTGTTGTTAACACTTTATTCATGTTCCCTCCTTTTGTAAATAACTCTTGATTTAAAAAAAAAACGTTTTAATTTATCTGTGATTTGCAAAATTTAAAATTACATTAACTTTTTTTTACCAATTAAAATTATACTTTTACTTTGAAAAGTTAAAAAAAATGAAAATACTCCTTTATCAAACTTTAATTAAATTGTAGCTTGTACTTTAATTTTCTTTGCTCTCTATTTATATATATAACTTATATCAATCAATAATATAATGAATAATTTTTTTTCATCTAACTTTTTATTAATCAATAAAATTTATTTAATTCTTAAACAAATTAAAAATCACAGAGGAAATCTTATTTTTACCTAAATGAAAGATAAATGTTTCTTATTCTCACATTTTTTTTTTGCAAAGAAAAAAATCTAACATTTTATTATTAAAAAAATAAGTTATTGTAAGTTCAGAGAATGACAAAAGAAAAAATATTATTCAAAAAACAATAAAAAATTTAACATGAATTATGAATTTTTTTTTCTTTCATGCTTCTTTAAAAAAAATATTTAAACAAATTGAATAATATCCTAGTGAGAAAGATGAGACAGGGCAGAAAAAATCCCTCGGTATAATGAATGAATAATTATCAGGTGAAATTTCAAAAATTTTCTTGAAAAAACATAAAATAATTTTAAAAACCTAATTGAAATTCTGTTTTTATTTCCACATAATTAAAATTTAAATATGATTAAATAAATAAATTTAAAAATTTATTTAAGTAAATTTAATATATATATATATATATATATATATATATATATATAAATCGACATTAGATACCTATTTCAATAATTTCATAATTATAGTTCATAATAATTTAATAAATTATAATACTAAAATTAATATATAATATTACATTTTTAAGAAAATAAATAATATTATACTTTTTAAGAATACTTATTATCTAAAATTTAAAAATATCAATAATTATAATAAAAGAAAATAAATACCATATTTTTAACTGTTTTGATATCATGAAGAGAGAAAAAAAAATTATATATGTTATACTTTCTTCCTTCACAGTTACATTTTTTCTCAATATTTTCTTGAATAAAAAATAATAAGTCAATATATATATATATATATATATATATATATATATATATATATATATATATATATATTATATATTATATACAAAGAAAATTTTATTTTTTATTATAAAAAATATAGTATATATGATACATAAAGAATGTATAATAATAAAAAAAGAAAATAATAATATAAATATTTTTTCATTTTGAAAAAAGAATAATAATATAAAAAATAATTTATATGACAAATCGAAATGTTAAAATAATTTTAATTGATTTAATTTAATAAATAATTTTAAAATATAAAATGACTAATATAATTTTGATATTGAATATAATAATTATATATAATAGACATAGTAATTAAATATATTTTAAAAATATTTAATATTTAGTAAATAAATTAAACTTTAATTGATTATTTAAATCTTAAGAATTGACTAAAATTTCCAGTAAGTCACCAACTTCGAATAAGTCACTGTGATGAAATTGGTAAACACACTGTAAACATACTGTTTCATAAAAGAGATTTTTCCTCCTCAATTACCTTTTTTTTCGCAATATTTTTTAATTATAAAATAATAAATTAAAATATCATATTTATTCATCTCCAATAACTAAATTAAATATTTTTTTTAAATTAATATATAATAAAAAACATGATAAAGTTCGAGAATTTCAGAGTGTTAAAAAATGAAAAACATAATTTTTTAATAACATCAATAGCCTTGAGGTTCATTTTAATTATACATCTCATGTTTTTCTTAGATTGTTAAAAAATTTATAATCTTTTAAATTCAATTGCACTTACTAGTTCGGAGCATGACTTGATTTTTTACTTTTTCTTTTAAAAAAGAGAATTGAAAGTTGAAAATGTTTTAACCTGAATTTTAAACGCAAAATGAAAATCAAAATGTGTGGATAAAACGGGCAGGAACACACTAAAAGACTCAAAATGAAGTGCAAAGATTATATAGTAAACTGATTAACTAACTGTTTTAGAGATCTATAAAAGGATAACAGACAAAACTACTTTCAAAAAGTACCGGTTTCCCTTTCTGCTCTGTTGCGCGTGAAACACTAAATGCTAATTTTGGATTTGAACCAAAACCAATATTTACACTATGCTTTTGCAGATAACAAAATAAATTGAACTTAAAATTGAAAATTTGAGAATATTTCATTCATTTTTAAATCCTACCCCTTTATCTCTCTTCCCATCTAACCCCTCGTTTTATCTTTTTCCGAACTAAACCTGAAGCACAAGGAGGCTCAGGCAGAAATTTCATATTTGCCATCAAATTTCATTTTTCATCGTTCCATGCTACTTTTGTCTTCCTCTCCTCACCTTCCAACTGTACACTAACCAATATTATTCCCTAGATAAAAAGGAAAACAGCTTCCTTTTTTTTTTTTTTTCCTCCTCCATCATAATTCATAATCCTCGATTTGTGAGCACTAATTACGTCATAATTAAGAATCAACCCTGCTAATCCCAATTCGCTTCACCGACATGTTCCTAAACCCATCCACACCCTGGAAACACATCCCATTCTGCTGTTCCATGTAATTTCGAACCTCCTTCCTAATCATCTCATGCATCAACGCCATAAACTCCTCCTTCCTTATCATCTCACGCATCACCGACATAAACTCCGCACTAAAATTCAACGATCCCAACCCAACCTCTGCTGCAGAAGTCGCCACGGTGGCCATCGGCACCACCACTGGAACGGGATTTGCTGGCACCGTTGTCGTCCGATTCGAGGTATCGGATGACTCCACGCCGGGAAGAGACAGCGACAGTGAAGTGGTAGGTCCGTCGTCGCATGACGACGCCGTCTCCACCACCGGTCGAACCGGCACAGGCCGGAAGACGTGCGATGGGGAGACTACCCCGGGGGCGCTGGTCTCACTCACATCGGATCCGGAGGGGCTACCCGGGGGCAGAGCAGCACCGGCGCTGAAGGAGCGCTTGAGCGGCTGCGGACTGAAACCGGCAGCGGCGGCGGCGGGATCGTCTGCGATCATGATGGAGGCGCACTTGCGTTTTAGGGTTGAGTTCCAGTGGTTTTTGATGGCGTTATCGGTGCGGCCCGAGAGGAGGCGGGCTATGGTGGCCCACTTGTTCCCGAAGCGGGCATGGGCCCGGATTATCTTGTCGTCCTCTTCAGGCGTAAAGGCCCGGTGCTCGACCTGGGGTGAGAGCTGGTTGCACCATCGGAGTCTGCAGGATTTTCCAGAGCGGCCTGGGATTGACCTGCTGATGGCCGTCCAGTTTCTCGGTCCGAGCCTCTCTACCAGCTTCTGCAAGGCCTCGTCCTCTTCCGGGCTCCATGGACCCTTGATCCGGTCCATGTCCTTTCGGCTTACTGCCATCATGGTGTTATTCTGTAATGGTTTGATGAAGAGAATGGGAAGGGTTTCTTTGCTTTAGTTATTGTGGTGGAGCATTGGGTCGTTAGAGCATGCTTGCGTTTTCTTATATCTGTGAGCGATAGGGGATGGGGCAACCGGTTTAGATGGTTCTCCTTTTACGGGTTTCAGCGTCGGTTGTAGTTCTCATGCTACCGGTTGTACCTGGGAAGCGGTTGCCTCTGGAGTTGGGATACAGCTGTAATTGGACACGCGTCGCCTCTTAGGTTGTTCCCTTTACACAAGTCATCTCTACTCCTTCTCCTCATTTATCCTTTCAAATTCCCCTTTTTATTTTAACTAAAATTTTTATATAAATATTATGGGTTCTGTTCATCCGTAAAAATTAATAAATAATATAAAAGGTAATAATTTCAAAATTGAAAGTATTTCTTTTATTAATGTTTTTAACAATTTTTAACCACCCTCCTCCTGATCCTTTATGCCTCTTCATGCAAAACAGCGCGTCCACTGCACACGCAAACGCTCCACTCAATTATAGCCTCCAATTTTGAAACTCTCTCTTGACTTTGTTTTTCTTTCTTCTTTTCGTATACGAGTTTTATTTAATTAGGACAAAATTTAGACATGATTAAAGATTAACAGAATTTGCACTTTTTTTTAACTTATTAATTCTTTTACTGTGGTTTTATTAGTTAGAATTGAAGTATAGCTTCAGTTAATTTGTGAATATTTAATGTAAAAAATTATTTTATAAATAATGAAATAAAAAGTTAAACTTAAATGAAAGAACAAAGACATAAAAAAATCATGTTATAACATGTCCTTCAAGAAATTGTTTTGGGTAGGGAAAAATAAACTTGAATTTGAGGCGTCTGGGTGAGGCGGGATGGGGACGTGAATAGAATAGAACAGTTGAGGAAGTTAATTAATGTGGACAAAGAAAACGCCGAGAACCAGAAATCTGAAAGTTAAAATAATAATAAATGGAAATATATAAAAAGGGAAAAGATAGAAGAAAAAACGGAAAGAAGAAAAAAAAAAAGATAACGATGATAACGGTTGGGTGATGATGGCTGAGGTTCCTTGCTTGCTTGAGTTTGACTGAGGACTATTCCAGGCTGTAGAGCATTTCGTGTGGGATATTTTTTTTGTTTTTTTTTTTTTTCAAGTTTGGTCCTTTTCGTAGGGAAAAAAATAGGGGAAAGGGCCCTACAACATGGTGAGGTGGCAGAAAACGACAAGATCGATCGCCGAATCGGAGCGCGAATCATTACTGCTTTCCTGTCAGTCCAGCCTGTATTCTTTACCTGCCTCCATCGTCTTCCTCCACATACACCTGTCGGTCACTTCCTCTCATCTTCCTAATCAATCATCCTTATTAGGCTTATTTATACTACTAATATATTATTATTATTATTATTATTATGCAGGTCTTTTGAAACCGAAATTATTTTGGGTTTATGTGTCATGTGTTGTGTCAGTTATATAAAATAAAAGGGTAACAGGTAACAGTATTAGGAGTAGTTAATAATTAATTAATGAGCATAAAGTGGGGGATTAGGGGATGTATAATTAAAGCAAGGTATAGGGAAAGGGCGAGAGAGAAAGTTGTCGGGTAGAATGGGGGTATGGTACTCACTATTCAAATGCCAAAGATATGATCCAACAGATCCGTATCCAACCCCTTTCTGTTACTTGTACCTCCTACCCACTGCCCCTGTCTCCATGCACTATAATACTTATTATTTTCCAATACCATACTATACTCTTTTCTATTCCCATATCCATACGTATATCATACCATCAACAACTCTGATCTTTATCATAATCTCGTTCTAACTCCGGATACCATGTAGACATTCTGACATAACAGTTATCAACAATTTCTTTAATTTAGACAATATAATTAACATATATCAAACTGCTCCGTTCCGTCAATATGCAATGTATCCAATAAGCACAGGATTATTTATAAGCGTCGCTAACAACATGTCTGTGGCTGCTGCTTCATCTCAAAAACCACTATGTCTTTCTTGTCTCCAAAATATTCCAACTCTTTCTTACACAGAATAAAAATGATGAAAAAAGTAAATAAATATTTAGTGAAGGGAGAGAAGGAAAGGAAGGGAAGAGATGAGTAGTAGTGGCCAGCAAAACGAAAGTGACGTGAATAATTACTACAGTAAGCATAACTTTGAAATGGCATTTGGCAGCTGGATTGAGTGAGTAATTCTTAATGAGAGAGGCTTTGAAAAGAAATTTTTGGGTGGCGTAGCATCTCCCAAAACAAGGAAAGGGATACGGAGAATTGTACTTTTGCACTATCCAAACCGTTGGGCCGAGACAGCTGTAACGTAATTATTAAGACCACTGTGTGATTCACGCCTTTTCTACAAATAAATAACTACTACTTATTAACATCTGCTTCTAACCGCTTAAAATACAGTTAAGTCACTCACTTTTTTTTTCTCTTAATAATTCTAAAAATTATTATAATTTAAATCATTTCATAAGTGGCTAAAATTAGTATAAATTAAATTAAATTTCATCTAATAAATTTGTTCAAACTAATTTTTATTAAAAGATATATTCACTTTACTTTCTATTTTCTTTAAATTATTCTATGTATATTGACTTTACTTTCTATTAATATCTTTTATTCATTTATTTAAATCGTTTAAAATGACAATATATTTTCAAAATAATTAATTTATTATATTCAATTTAAAATTTTATTTATGTAATATTTTTTTAAGTTGTGAGATTTTAATACTTTAAGATGATGATATCTTTAATAAACGTTAACAGTCCATCACGTGAGCAAGTGGCTTCATCACGTGAGCAGATGTAGCGTGCAAAGTAGACACACGTGGCGTTTGCTCCCCTCCAAGCGGCAACAAAAACTCAGGTCCAGTGGTAAATTACGAAGGTGTCCCCAGTGACGGTGCGTGTTAATGAAATGAGTGGAGTCCAAAACCGTTGAATCTGGCTATGTGCTGTCGATTCATGGGTGTCTTGGTTTTAGTGGAAAACAAAACGGTCTAATACCGGACGATGATGAGGTACGGAAGGTGAATAATTTCTTTCCTCTCTCCCTCATCACGTGATGCATCCTCACTTATCTATCCCACGCTTTTATACATGGAGGTAAATTTTAACCATTGCTTTCTTATTTAAATGTATGTCTATGATATTTTATTTTATTTTTACATGGAGAAGGGATTAAAGACAGAAGGGAAAAACTAATTTTCGATTAACATGTGGGTTATGAGAACTAAGTAGAATCAGGAAATTGAAAACAATGTTATATTACTTTTTATAATTATATCACATAATAAAATATGTTTTATGAATGAATTATAATATTTTTAAATATATTAACTATATTTAAAATTTATATCAGATAAATATATTTTCATGAATTCGTGAAACAACAATGTTGACACAAGGACAGAGAGGTTGAATAAAAAGTATTATTTTATAAAATTATCATTATTAATAATTATTATTTTATATTTATAATTTAAGTTATATATATATATATATATATTATTTTTTAACTAGTATTTTAATAAAATATAATAAATGTTATTAATTTAATTTAAATAATTTTAAAAAATATAACTTATAATAAAAAATATAAAGATTGAAAAAAAATAATTAAAAGTATATATTTAAAAAAATGATTTCATTAATAACAAATAAATAATAATTATATAAATAGTTTTATAATTAAATAAAAATAATTTTAATTAATTATTCATTGTTTTTAAAATGAAAATATTTTTATATAATTTTAAAAAAATAATAAATTTATTTTTTTCTTACAATTTTCTTTCCTTATATTCGAACATCCCTTAAATTTGTATGTATTTTATAATTTTTTCTTTCATCTAATTATTATTACATGTAATTATATATATATATATATATAATTATGAATTCACAATAATATTTTAAAGGTAAAATAGTATTAGAGTTATGGGCAAGTTTATATGGTTAATTTTGTTTATATAATTATAATAAGTAAAAATAAAATATTTAAAATTGGAACAATTATTAAATTGATTAAAATTTTGATTCAAAGTTAAACGATGATCAAACTAATATTGATTTTTTTTTTAAATAATTAACATACATATAAAGAAGTTTTATTTATTAAGTTATTAGAAAAAAAATTCGTTAAAATCACCTTAAAAGACATAATAATCTATTTATCTTAAACATTTATATATCTACTCCTGTGATAAAATAAATTTAATTAAGTAAGTTGGACATATTAGTGCGTATATTTAACTTAATATTCACTAATTAAGTGGATTTATTTTCCTGTTTATCTATCTGTTAGAAAATAAAATGTCTTTAGTTAAATTATTTTTATATGCTTCACAGTATAATTCCTTTTAGATATAATAATATATTGGCTAATAGGTGAATAGATAAATATATTACTTTTTTTTTAGATTATATTTACTTATTAACTTAAAAGGATATTTTCTATCGACTCCATATATCTTATTAGTTTGTTTTCTCTTTCCAACTTTTTTACGCTTTTCATGTAGATTTATACTGTAAGAAAGAAAAACTTGATAGTAGTTGTCTCTATCTAAGCTTTTCCAAGTACAAAATAATTGAATGTTACGAGTGCTTTTATACAAGACATGCATAAGTAAACTTAATAAAGAATGTTAAATTAAAATTAAGGAATTTAAAATTTCAACAAATAGAAAATAGGAATGAATTGTTCTATAAACTCTATTAGGTAATATATATGTGTGTACAGGTAATAGAGTAGTTAATAAGATTATCAGAGGGACATTGAACATATTTTTCAAAAATATGTCATTGTAATAAAAAGATCATTAAATAATTGACTGTTAGTTACAAATGAATTGAAATAAATAGCACAAGAGAGTGTTAAGTTTAAGAATATAAGTTTAAAAATTGGAATATTAAAAATAATTAATTAATTAATATGGGAAGACTCAGAGGTTAAATAATGAGGAGGAAAATCAAATATTGAATTAGAGTCAGAAGATAGAGATAAAACCCAAATAAAATTAATGATATTAATAAAAGAAAAAAAAATTAAGGAAAGAGTAAATAAAGGAAATAATTGGAAAATGGGGAAGTATAAGAATGAGAGAAGATCGAAGAATAAAAAAATCCAGAAAAAAATTATTATAAAAAGAGAATTATAAAGAAATAAAAAAATATATCAAACCGTTATAATTTTACGACATGAAAAAGATGACTATAAATACTATGTAGATAATAAAAATTAATAAAAAAATGGTAATAAAGA